GACACTTCACCCCCATTGCCTAGAATGAGTCTGGTGTGTGTGTGAATGGTTGGTGGTGGTGGGAGGGGCCGATGGCACAGACTGGTTGCCTCGCTTCTGTCAGTGTGCCCCAGGGCAGCTGTGGCTACAGTAGTTTATCACCACCGTGTTTAGAAGTGAAAGAATAATGACATATGAAATGTCTTTGAGAGTCCAGAAAGCGCTTTATAAAACCGATGCATTATTATTATTATTAAAACACATCATTGATTTGATACATCTGTGCTGGAAATAAGACTAAAGCTGTTTGTTCCATTGTTTCATTTTTGATTTATTTATTTAATATTTATTTGAAGGGACTAAGTACAGAACCATTAAGCTCAAAGACATATGTTCTGCGCCAGATTATAACTAAACAGCTAGTTTCCATCTGTAGATTAAAGAACGTCAAAATGTTTTCAAATCAAGATAAAAACAACTGACTTTATAGTACCACAAAAACAGCCTAAAGGAGTAGCTCTCTGCCAGTGCGGCCCCACATGCTCTCCAGGGAAAGGTTGGAGACCCCTGTGCTGTACGTTCAAGGGCGTGAATGGATAAACAGAGGCATTTACAGTATACATAACCACTTAAAGGGACAGTTTGGAATATTTTAATTCTAAATTACATCTACATATTTTTGTGTCGCCATAATAATGGGACGACATGTAAAACTCATACTTGCCTTTTTATTTGTTTTTAAATAAAAATACGTAATATACAGAGTTTGTACAGTTTTTATCTAGACCCCAGCAGATAGATTGCATCAGTAATCCGTGTTCAGGATTTACTTGTGTCACATGCAGATAGTGATTATTAGGGGTGGGAACCTAAGGGTACCTCACGATACGATACGATACACGATACAAAGCTCACGATAACGATTTTATCACGATACGACGATTATTGATATATTGGTCAGAAATATACAATATGCCAATTTATGGCATAAATAAAAGAAAAATGACTCTTTATTTCATGATAAATAGAATGGAGATGCGTAATGTAGCCATATATTAAGTATTGATACCAATTCAAAAAAGAATTTGTAAAAAATAAAATAAAAATAAAAATTCAAATATATATATATATTTTTTCAAAATCGATATCGATACTTGGCAAATGCATATCAATAATCGAATCGCGGGAGTGATTATAGTTGTACTGAATTTATTAGATCACTAATTGTGCATTATGTCCGTTTATCCAGTCAACTATAATCAAACTTTCCTTAAGTGATTAAATTATATCTGTTATACATTACTTTTACATTTTTCTACTCTAGAATGATCCATTTTTGGTTTTATGAAATATTATTGCTGCATTTCCCATGATCACCAGCTGCTACGAAGAGTGTCCTCAAAATATATGTGGTATTTATTTAATCTAACGTTCGGCTAATACTTTGAGTTTCTTTGAGTACCATGCATTAGTCCTCTCTTTGCGGTAAAGATAATTGTCTACATTTATTTTTGGAGGCTGTCTGGAACAAGCGAGTGGATGCTATTAGGCTGAGTCACCTTCATCCCATTCTTCACACGATACTAATGACATCCATCATCTGCTTCCTCCAGCATCTCCCCGATATCATAGTTATTCATCTTTCGTAGCCCCGTTTTTCCCATTTCATATTGTATATCTTTGTCACACTCTAAAGAGGTCAGTGTCATTAACCCTACACCAAACGCAACATTTTATAAAGACTACATTTGAGTAGTCAATTATAATTCTTTAAAGATAGAAGACATATTAGGCATTATATTTGGCACTAACAGTTTAGAATGTGAAATTATATTCAGATGAAAATATATGGTGGGGTACATTTTGATATTGGCCTATTACACAGAGGAAGGTTGTTTTGCTAAGTTAAAATGTTGTGCCGCAAAAACAGGCATGTCATAACAAGAACAGAACGTATTTTTACATGAAAAGTTGCCAGAGATAATTTTGGGGCAACACTTTTGATTTAAAAGCAGACAATGGCTCTGAACGTGATGTCATCATACTACAGGACATATGTTAGCGGGGATGGATCAAAAAACAACACCAGGTCTGTTTTTTTCTCTTCACTGGCTTCCAATCATCCAACGCATCCAATACAAAATCTGCCTCCTCACCTACCAATGCATCCACGGACATGCCCCGGACTATCTCACAGAACTTCTCACTCCTCCGCCCATAACCAGAGCATTCCGGTCCACAGACACCAACCTCCTCTCCATCCCCAGAACTAAACTCCGGACAATGGGTGACAGGGCTTTCCAGGCGGCTGCTCCCAAACTGTGGAACGCCCTACCGCCACACCTGAGGGCCCCACAGTCATTGGAGACCTTCAAAAGAGGACTTAAACTTTTCTGTTCCCTTCTTAACATTGTTTTAACATTGTTTTAACTTTAAAGACCTTATGACGGGTTTGATTTATTTAGAAATACAGTTTTAATACCATTTTATATTAGAAGAGAACTACTAAAGGTTTCAAAATCAGTTGTTGTTTTTTTTGTCTGATCCCCCCAAATTGAAATAACCCCATAGCAACACCCTTAGAAACGAAAAAACTTCACAGCCCTTGGTGACGTCAGAGTGGGTACGTTTCAACGCTGTAAGTTGTTTACAATTTGGTATTCGTTCTTTTTTCGCGGATATTCAAGATGACAAGGCCGTGTACAGCGAGTTTCAGATAACTACTAGAATGTCACATTTCGTTGTCACTAAAATAGTCCAGTGGTTGTGTCCATGCACTGCCAATCCAGATACTGGGGTTCAAATCCCACCTCGGACACTTTTTCACACCATCCATCCATTTTCTACCCTTTAATCCATTTCTGGGTCAGGGGGGTGGCAGTCAGAGATACCACCCAAGTCTCATAGCACCAGCCCCTCACTGACCCTCTGCAGGTGGTGAGTCCACAGGAGGACGGCTGCTCTCTGAGTGTGAGCATAGCCTTGATCTTTCAGTGGGGGCTTTGGGCAAAGTGGGGTTAAGTGTCTTGCCCAAGGACACAACGACAGCAGTCATCAGTGGGAGTCGGTGGAGAAGGTGCAGAGGTGGGAATTGAACCCACGACCTTCAGGCCTGAAGGCCAATGCTCTACCAACTGAGCTACTGTCGCCCCCTTTTTTTTTTTTTTTTTTCACACCCAAAACGGCAATTTATGTGTAGTGAGCAATTGTCACCTGTAGAGGGCAGTATTGTGTTGGGCATCAGTGGAGAGAAGAGAGAAAAGGCAGTCCTGTGGCATAGATCCATGGTTTTCAATGCATGGGCGTGACCCGCTGTGATGTCACACACAGGTTAGAGCATAGACAACTTAAATTCATGAAAAACACGTTCTTTTTATAAAATATAGGATTTTTTTTGCCGGAATCTCTTTCAAATTGACATTGTCATGCAATTTTGATATCCACTATTTTAAAACAAAAAACCCGTCATAAGGTCTTTAATGATTTGCGCTTTTATTGTTGTTGTTCTGTAGCACTTTGAGATTTGTATGTAAAGTGCATTACAAATTAAAGGTGTTATTATTATTATTTTTGATGAGGGAACAGTGTTTTATCATGATTAAAAACTCAACAAAGTATGTCCCCTTTTAACATGAGTTCCCGTTTTGTTTGCATATAAACCAGTACAACTATGATTTGTTGCTATAATCAAGGTCATATAAAGCAGCAGTGTTGTGTGCCGCCTGAAGAGCAGAGATAGAGCAGAGAAAGCCCAGCTGCATCATAATCTGCTGGTGCCACAAACCTCTCCCCTTCTCCAGAGGTGCAAGAGGTGCTCGCAGTTTACTACAAGCACTCTTACATCAGAAATCATTTTACTAAGAGGTTTTCTGCACAATGGCCACTTTGGGAAAGCAATAACAGCTTTCAAAAAGTTTACCAAAGTGAAAACTACTTTGAAAAGCCATTTATCACAGTTATAGAGGCGCGCCACTGTTATAGAGAGACTTGACGTGTGTGCTACTTACTATTATTTTTTCAAACCAGATTTTAGTATATTTTAGTGTTCCTAATGTGTATTTGGAATAATCAACTATAATCTGTATTATTATAATCTTAATACCATTAATTAACCGTTACTAATCAGTCATCCTGCTACCCTATGGACAAATGGTTCTGGTTGCATCACCTGTGTTCTAATTGCTTCTCTCATTTGTTGGTGGCTGATTGACAGTTTTGTAAAGTCCTCTGCAACAATTGCTGTTGTTTTTTGAGGCTAAACAATCAAATAATATACTAAATACCAATTACCAACCATTCTATAATGCCATTCTATAAGACAGAAATAAATGAGGTAATTACAACATTCCATTGTGAGCCGTATTGATTCCAGGTTTGTTTGTGCGTGGAATACAGACTCATGTCTCTGGACAGACTTTAGAATAATGCAGTAACTTGAAGTGGAAATGTGGTGTCACCAAATCTTGACAGCTTTTTAAGTTTCTTGATTGTTGTGAGACTTAAAATCATGTGGTGAAACGATTGTGCAGTTGTTTTGACCTCACAAGAAGTTCAGTTCGAAGCTGGGTTTGATTCCACTTCCAGATGCCTTTCTGTGTGATGTTTGCATGTTCTCCCCATGTCTACCGAGGTTTTCTTTCAGTGCTGTGCTTTCCACTACCACTAAAAGCATGTACCATAGTTCAGGATGAATTAGTGTGGGTTCATGAGTGTGACTGTGGGAGAATAGCCAACAATCTGGTGTATTTACAGAATTACTTTTCATGAATACACACTGTCCCCCTTCACCTACTCATAATGGTTGTCTTTACATATGTGGTGTGTATGTGTTCCCACAGAGCAGCGCGAGCATTTGGAGACTCCCTGTCCCACTCTCACCCTGAAAACAGAAACGGATCAGGTCAGCGTACCCGCATTCGTCCATGAGCCGTCCTGCCATTGTACTAATACCCACCTCATCCTCTGCTACTCAAATACAGGAGCTGCGTCCATGAGCATTGCCATTATAGCCGACGAGAAAGATGAACAGTACATTTGTGCTCAGAAAAATATGGACTTATAATCTGGGAGCTTTCAGTGCATCTACATCAATCGGCGGTTGGCATTTTGACTAAATGTCACTTTTATATTGACGCATTTCTGAGCATAACTGTATGTTCTATCCTCAAATGTATGTATTTTTTTTCATGTCATATACTTCTCTCTTCCCAGCTCGACATCTGTGTGAAACCTCGGCGAGTCCGGACCAAGAGACAGACACGACTGGCCCTAAATACAACAACAACCACCTCCGATCCTGCGCTGAGGGCTTCCAAGCCGCCCTTGAGCCTGGCGTGTTGAAGACTACATCACCAGCTCCTCCTTCTATCACCATTTCTGGCAGGACGCCCTCTTGCCTGTCCCTCGAGCGGAGTTTCTCGGCCGAAGAAGAGCTGCAGAAGTCCGTGGAGTGCACCTTGCAGCCGTCGCGCGTGTACGCCATCACCAGCCAGCACAGCATGTTAATGAGCAACAAGGAGAGCTTAGAACTGGACGTGCTCAAAGAGAAAGCAGCGGGTGGGGGTAAAAGCAGCAGCAGCAACAGCAGTCACTCCAACTTAATTCAACCGTCTAGTTCGCCGTCGTCCAATTCATCTTCGCCGCTTCAGTACCATGCGTCTGGGAGCCGAGGGGCAGCCAGCAGCCACCATCATCATGGCAACCACCACCACGGCCTTCACCATCACCACTCTGTCACGGGGACAAATGCTTCGTCGAGTCAGCAACCTGCGCACCACCACGGCCACCACCATCACCACCTGCCCCAGCCCCCTCTGCACGCCTCGGTTAGCGCGCACAATATCCGCAGCTGGGGTGAAGGCGGGAAAGGCGAGACGGAGGCGTACGGCGGCTCGTTGATGTGCGAAACGTGTGGAGGTGGTACCCCGTCTAGGAGCCAGGGGTCTTTGGACCTGGAGAGTGCGTCCCGGGAGGCAGGCAAGCACCACCGCAGGCTAGAGCGCATGTGGAGTGTGGACCGAATGACTGGGCTGGAGAGAGGTGAGAGGGCACACGACACAGGAAGAGGAGCAGAGGAGCCCAAACCAGGGGGTGGAGGTAGGGAAGGGCTAACCCAAGTCATGTGTGGCATGTATGACAACAGGGAGGGGAAGTTAGCAGTGGTGGTCTTATTGTACAACATTGAAATGTATGTACTGTATCTAAACATTTGATTTCTTAATTTAAATATTTTATTTTTTACATGAAAAAAATAAAAAAGTGTCAAGTTAAGCAACATTTATAATTACATTGACAACAGGACTGCTCAATTAATTAGTTCCACTATATTTTGTCAACATTTAAAATAAAAACAATATATTTTTATTTGTATTTACAGTACATTGTGACAAACTTAAGTACCCACCTACCTATATATCTATACATCTGCACTTCTATACGTCTATCTTGCAGCATTAGAGATTATAGCAATCGGCTGTGGTTGAACCGAATGTTCAAAGGCTGTTTTAAAATAATATTTGAAGCTGCAAAGCCTTTGTTTGTCCACACTGATAATTGTTAATGTAGTGTGAAGTAGGTGGCACAGGGCTGTCTGCCTCCTTACAGATCAAACCAAACACACACTTCCTGTTTGATGCAGATTGGGCAGTGAAGATTAAATAATAAAGAGAGATGAAAATAGTATTTGACTGCTCTCATTTGCTAAAACGTTTTTATTTTCCATCTACTATCCACAAATCACATTCATCTTATAGCTTTTAATTGCAATTTTGGTTAACACGGTTATATTTGTGCAGAAGTCATTGGTATTGATAGTCCATAATCACTGTTACAAAATCTATTTATAACTTCTATGATCTTCTATGATACTGCTCGCATATCGTGAGGGTTAAGAAATCATCATCACATTATTTTTGATGTGTGAAATACTCATGGACATTAGTCAGAACTAATCAAATCTATTTCATCTCATGCTGTGGGCTTGGTGTTGGATGTGACATAGTGGTCTTCATCACACTGTGCTCTCTCTTCCTGTGTCTCCCTCTCTCCATTTGTGGAGTGGTGGACTGTGAAGTGCTGGTGCTGGTTCTGTGCCTCATTTTCTACAGTATGAATTATTATGGTATTTGCCGATGTGCCGTATTTTCTTCATCCCTGCCCCTTCTTCGTCTGCAGATGACACCAACTGGTTTCCCAAAGAAAACATGTTCTCCTTTCAGACTGCCACCACAACCATGCAGGCGTAAGTATGCAATCGTGATTCAACATACAATCTAAGTTTTACATACATGTATACATAGACACAAGCTGGTGTCACATGAACTGTCATGTTGTGTTGTCAGCTTTGCTAAATGGATGTTTGTGCATGTCATTAGGTAGAAATCCCATGACTCATATTATTGCCCACTATGACATGACAGTGAAGCTGCCTTGAAGGTTCTTTCTCGTTGAGTATTCAATAAAAGTCAAGTCAAGGCAAGGCAAGGCAAGTTTATTTATGTAGCACAATTCATACACAAGGCAACTCAAAGTGCTGAACAAAATAAAAAAGCATTAAAATCATAAATAATCACAGAACATTAAAAAGAAAGATAAAAATATAAAATCCCTCAGTTGTAGCACAGCTAAACAGAACTGTTTTTAACCTGGTTTTAAACATTGTCAGAGAGGAGGCCTGTCTCACATCTTCAGGAAGATTGTTCCAGATTCTAGCAGCATGAATCTGAAAAGCAGCCTCCCCATGTTTAGTCCTGACTCTGGGCACTAACAGGAGTCCAGTCCCTGTGCTCCTCAGAGTGATTTGGATGTAAAAAGTCACAAAAGCTTGCTTCATTTCAGATCTATGGTGGCTGTGTATAGACCCAAGCACTGTAAGAAGGGTGTTGATGTCTTAATATTTATGGACCCATCTGTTTTTCAGAACATACGTGGATATCATATAAGAGTTTTCTTCTGCTTTCTTTGTTCATGTTTCTGCTTCTCATGCTCAATTATAAGTTTGACCTCTATAAGCATTTCAATATTGGATGGTTCTTTCCTATGGCTCTCTAAAATGTGTTTCCTTTCTCTTATCTTTTCCACTGTGATCGATCTTTGGCATTCTCACCCAGGATCACGTAAGTAAACAGTCTGTCTTTTCTTTTCTCTTCCCCTTTCATTACAACTAGGAACACACAACGTACCAACACAGTCTCCAATCCACTTTCTCATGGGAAAGTAAGACATGCACTCACTCAAATATCAAAAGAAAATGAGTCTGGCCTTTAAACATACACTAAAAACTAACAAAAAAACAGCAAAGTATAAAGGTATTGCAGATCGTACACAGTTCTGGGCACCATGTTGGTTCAGTAATCGGCCTGACTCTCCATCACAGCTCATTAGCACTGCCCCTGTGTTCTGGCGGACTCCAGTGTTTGCACAGGACTCTGTTTACTGCCTCGAGAGAAATAAGCCAAGAAGAAGAAGACATATTAATAGTACAAATATTTATAATGTGCTAGCTTGCTGTCTATGCTGGAAAAAGTCTATGGCGTTACAGGTGAAATTCTGCTGTGTCCCAAAAATGCCCAGTATCCTCACAGTTTAATTCCTGTTTGAGCATTATTTGGGAAACTCGTGTAAACATCTGCTGAACTCCAGTGAAACTCAAGCCGTTCCCCGCACACAGGAAGTGAAGTGGTGTTATAACTAAAACGCAGAAGTGGTGCGTGCATAGAGCCCATTTGCTCATGGCTTGTAAAAACCCCAAACATTATTCTTATTTTTATGAATGTATTTTGTAAATGGACTGCACTGGATGTTTTAAATGAACAATAGATCAAATTAGGTAAACAAAAATTTATACAGTATATATGTTCGTTTTTTTACAGATGAACCTTCATATTATTATTGTATACTTAATTCATAACCAAACATGAATGGCCCATTAATGTTATCCATCAAGGCATTGGTTAATGTCATCTTCGTTGCATATAAATAACTTTGAAATCATTAACGGAGTATATTTCCGCTGCATTAGCTGTGAGGATGAGAGCTCCTCCTCCTCAGCAGCTGCTCCATATGTGTGAACTGGCCGACTCCAGCGGGAATATGAATCAAAACATATCACACTAGCACTTTTACATAATCTCTCTATTCTTTTTGTGTAATTAGTCATTATAGTGGGCCACTGCGTTCTCAGCTATGATAACACTCTCTTTAACTTTGTATTCGAACAGCTTGTCGGTCCACCTTTCTGAGAAACAGTTCTGTGTCAAGTCAAGTGATGCTTTTCACACTTTTGTTGAAGACAGATCAAACCGAGGTGAACAAGGACCACTGTGTGATTCTTAACGCAGACATTTTCTTAGTTTTTCACTATGTTGTCTTGTCTTGGCTCATTGGACAAAATATCCCATAAAAATTACAAAGACATGTTCTTTTAGGATTTGCGTTTCCCAAAATATGTTCAAGATAAGGAAAGATAACATGTATTTGTCCCTCACGTTTCAGAAGAATAAAAGGGAAAAATAGAAACATGATGTTATTTATGCAACTATACTTGTATTTCATTTTTTAAAGAATACATTTTTCTGACTTGAAGGACTTTGAATTAATTTCCGAACAATCAGGAAGCTGTGGGTGTGAGCATAAGTCGTAAGTCATAAGTCATAAGTCTCACATGTTTTCATAAGTCTCACATGTTTTCATAAGTCTCACATGTTTTCATAAGCCTCACTTGTTTTCATAAGTCTCACATGTTTTCATAAGTCTCACATGTTTTCATAAGCCTCACTTGTTTTCATAAGTCTCACATGTTTTCATAAGTCTCACATGTTTTCATAAGTCTCACATGTTTTCATAAGTCTCACATGTTTTCATAAGTCTCACATGTTTTCATAAATCTCACATGTTTTCATAAGTCTCACATGTTTTCATAAGCCTCACTTGTTTTCATAAGTCTCACATGTTTTCATAAGTCTCACATGTTTTCATAAGTCTCACATGTTTTCATAGGTCTCACATGTTTTCATAAGTCTCACATGTTTTCATAAGTCTCACATGTTTTCATAAGTCTCACATGTTTTCATAAGTCTCACTTGTTTTCATAAGTCTCACATGTTTTCATAAGTCTCACATGTTTTCATAAGCCTCACTTGTTTTCATAAGTCTCACATGTTTTCATAAGTCTCACATGTTTTCATAAGTCTCACTTGTTTTCATAAGTCTCACATGTTTTCATAAGTCTCACATGTTTTCATAAGCCTCACTTGTTTTCATAAGTCTCACATGTTTTCATAAGTCTCACATGTTTTCATAAGTCTCACATGTTTTCATAAGTCTCACATGTTTTCATAGGTCTCACATGTTTTCATAAGTCTCACATGTTTTCATAAGTCTCACATGTTTTCATAAGTCTCACATGTTTTCATAAGTCTCACATGTTTTCATAGGTCTCACATGTTTTCATAAGTCTCACATGTTTTCATAAGTCTCACATGTTTTCATAAGTCTCACATGTTTTCATAGGTCTCACTTGTTTTCATAAGTCTCACTTGTTTTCATAAGTCTCACATGTTTTCATAAGTCTCACATGTTTTCATAAGTCTCACATGTTTTCATAAGTCTCACATGTTTTCATAAGTCTCACATGTTTTCATAAGTCTCACATGTTTTCATAAGTCTCACATGTTTTCATAAGTCTCACATGTTTTCATAAGTCTCACATGTTTTCATAGGTCTCACTTGTTTTCATAAGTCTCACTTGTTTTCATAAGTCTCACATGTTTTCATAAGTCTCACATGTTTTCATAAGTCTCACATGTTTTCATAAGTCTCACATGTTTTCATAGGTCTCACATGTTTTCATAAGTCTCACATGTTTTCATAAGTCTCACATGTTTTCATAAGTCTCACTTGTTTTCATAAGTCTCACATGTTTTCATAAGTCTCACTTGTTTTCATAAGTCTCACATGTTTTCATAAGTCTCACATGTTTTCATAAGTCTCACATGTTTTCATAAGTCTCATTTATTTTCATAAGTCTCACTTGTTTTCATAAGTCTCACATGTTTTCATAAGTCTCACATGTTTTCATAAGTCTCACATGTTTTCATAGGTCTCACATGTTTTCATAAGTCTCACATGTTTTCATAAGTCTCACATGTTTTCATAAGTCTCACTTGTTTTCATAAGTCTCACATGTTTTCATAAGTCTCACATGTTTTCATAGGTCTCACATGTTTTCATAAGTCTCACATGTTTTCATAAGTCTCACATGTTTTCATAAGTCTCACGTGTTTTCATAAGTCTCACATGTTTTCATAAGTCTCACATGTTTTCATAAGTCTCACATGTTTTCATAAGTCTTATTTATTTTCATAAGTCTCACTTGTTTTCATAAGTCTCACATGTTTTCATAAGTCTCACATGTTTTCATAAGTCTCACATGTTTTCATAAGTCTCACATGTTTTCATAAGTCTCACATGTTTTCATAAGTCTCACTTGTTTTCATAAGTCTCACATGTTTTCATAAGTCTCACATGTTTTCATAGGTCTCACATGTTTTCATAAGTCTCACATGTTTTCATAAGTCTCACATGTTTTCATAAGTCTCACATGTTTTCATAAGTCTCACATGTTTTCATAAGTCTCACATGTTTTCATAAGTCTCACATGTTTTCATAAGTCTCACATGTTTTCATAAGTCTCACATGTTTTCATAAGTCTCACATGTTTTCATAAGCCTCACTTGTTTTTATAAGCCTCACTTGTTTTCATAAGTCTCACATGTTTTCATAAGTCTCACATGTTTTCATAGGTCTCACATGTTTTCATAAGTCTCACATGTTTTCATAAGTCTCACATGTTTTCATAAGTCTCACATGTTTTCATAAGTCTCACATGTTTTCATAAGTCTCACATGTTTTCATAAGTCTCACATGTTTTCATAAGTCTCACATGTTTTCATAAGCCTCACTTGTTTTTATAAGCCTCACTTGTTTTCATAAGTCTCACATGTTTTCATAAGTCTCACATGTTTTCATGAAGAGGTATTTTCTTATATTAGATATCTTTATATGTCAGAATTACCCATAAAAAAACATTTAGTCTCACCACAATGCACTCATTACTTATTACTAAGTATTTAAGTTAGTTGGTTTCATAAATATTTATTTTTCTTGTCCAAACAAAAGATTCATGAGTAAGTAATATTTTATGAAAAAATTAGACCGTCTTATCTTTAATAGTGAATTAAACGGTGAAGATTAAGTAAGTGCTCGATTGTTGAAAGAATAGACTACACTTTGCTCGCTCAGACCAGCTGTATGCCTGCCGACTCAGTCGGCATTCAGGGCTATGCTCTGGAATGGTTCCGATCTTATCTGAGAGATAGGAGTTTCTGTGTGAGAGTTGGTGACTTTGTTTCCTCCACAGCCCCCCTGTCGTGTGGGGTGCCGCAAGGGTCCATCCTTGGGCCACTCCTCTTTTCGTTATATCTGTTGCCATTAGGAACTATCCTCCGGAGGTTTGGGGTGTCATTCCACCTGTACGCAGATGACAGCCAAATCTATGTGCCCCTTAAGCGTAGCAATAACTTTTGCAGCACCCAACTTCTCGAGTGCATATCTGAAATCAAAATGTGGATGGCAGCAAACTTTTTGCATTTCAATGAAAAAAAGAGTGAAGTTCTGCTGGTCGGGCCCAGCAATGGCAGCAGTAGCTCCGTGGACCTGGGACCTCTAACACAATTTGTTAAGCCCATAGTTTCAAACCTTGGAGTGAAAATGGATGCTGATTTTAAATTTGATAAACAAATAAGTGCAGTAGTGAAGTCTAGTTTCTTCCATTTAAGGCAACTTGCTAAAATAAAGTCCTCCCTTTCAAGACAGAATTTTGAAATTCTAATTCACGCTTTTGTTACAACTCGGCTGGACTATTGTAACGCCTTGTACACAGGGATCAGCCAGTCCTGTTATGGAAGTTTCTATCCAAAGCTAGGAAGAAGCTCAAAAGTATTTGTCTTAATCAGGAGCGTAAGTTTATTGTACACACGTGCGGAGAGCTCACACACAAAGGCAGCATGCATCAGCTCTGGGGCGCAGAGCTCAACTTCCTGTTTACATAGACACACATGAAAGACAGTCACGCCCACAACAGATGGGAGGGGGCCACCGGTGAAGGAGGCGCATAGGGAGCGCAGGCGCCATGCCCTGTGGTGAGGCAATCAGACACAGTGGCATGGAGGTGCGAACAGACAGACAATGGTAGAAATGCAGGCATACAGATGCAAGATACGAAAGACACAAGGGTGTGACAGACAGCAGAGACCTTCACAAAGCTCAGCATGGCGTCAGAAGGTCGTCTCTGCATTGATAAAAGGCCTTTGACGTCCGTGTATTTGCTGCGGCTGGTTTTAATGTAATTACTCTAAAAACTGTCATTACAGTCCTCACTTGCTCGTCTGCAGCTGGTACAGAACGCTGCGGCGCGTCTGTTAACAGGAACTCGGAAGTTTGACCATATCTCTCCGGTCCTGTCATCACTTCATTGGCTTCCTGTTCGCTACCGGATTGATTTTAAAGTCCTTCTGTTTGTCTATAAATGCCTGAATGGCCTTGCTCCGCGCTATCTGTCTGACCTACTGACGTCCTATGCTCCATCACGTTCGCTTAGGTCGGCGGATCAGGCTCTGCTCTGGGTTCCTCCGACTAAACGGAAACTCAGAGGAGATCGAGCTTTTTCGTTTGTTGGTCCTAAACTATGGAATGAGCTGCCCCTGTGTGTGAGACTGTCTGAGTCACTTCCTGTTTTTAAGTCTCGTCTTAAGACACACTTGTTCTCATTGGCTTTTAATTGATTTCAATTGATTTTTTGCTGTAAATAGTGTTTTTTTGCCACTGTTATGTATTTTTTAAATGTATATTTGTGTATGTCTTTTTATGTACAGCACTTTGGTCAACCATGTTGTTTTTATTAGTGCTTTATAAATAAACTGGATTGGATTGGATTGGAGCTGTAGGAGGCATGGCTCTTGGGGCAGTGTGAGAGCAGGGTTCCACTGTGGGAAGAGAGTTTGTCACCCTGGGCAGATGGCACAGTGACACCAGCAGTACATCTCAACTCCTCTGACATCCATCTGCACTGTCAATGTCATTACTCGGCGCTAATTCAGCAGCAAGAATTATGAACACTGTTGCAATATTTTTACTAATATATAAGCAAATATGTGCAGCTAATATTCGGTCTGAAGACTTTTTAAAGCCAACAAATAGGCAAGGCAAGGCAAGTTTATTTATATAGCACAATTCATACACAAGGCAATTCAAAGTGCTGAACAAAACAAGAAAGCATTAAAATCATAAATAATCACAGAACATTAAAAAGAAAGATACAAATATAAAATCCCTCAGTTGTAGCACAGCTAAACAGAACTGTCTTTAACCTGGTTTTAAACATTGTCAGAGAGGAGGCCTGTCTCACATCTTCAGGAAGACTGTTCCAGATTTTAGCAGCATGAATCTGAAAAGCAGCCTCCCCATTTTTAGTTCTGATAAATAGGGCTTTACAACAAACTACATTTGTTCGCTCAGTAGTTGATCAAACAGGCATGTGTAGAATATGTTTTAAATTTGAGACTTAACACCATTCAAGAGCCATTTCCAGCATCATGCCATTTTCCATTTGTCTGATCAATTAACCAAGCTTGTAAGGATTCTTCTTCTTGGATGCTAACGGGGTCGGAATTTGTCTTTCGAAGCCTATTTTTTCAATATATTTAGGAAGCATATCTCTAAAACAATGGAGGTTAGAGTCATTGGTTGCAAGTTTTGATTCCAGCTCCATGTGTCCACAAGTAGTGTAGTTTCTTGAGGCAAAGGTGGAAAAGGAATGATCCACCATAGTCCACCAAAGTGTTGAATCCACCTCTGTTTTCCTAACTTGTAAGAAAAAAAACATTGTATTTTTCCTTGCCATTGTACAAAATAAAAGATCTTGCTGTCCCACCCAATTACTTTTGCTCTATAAATGGCCGTACCTTGCTGCAGTAAACACGGGTGCTTTTATGGAGGTAACCCGAGGACAGATTAAAACCCTCATTCTTCTCATTTTATGTATTTATTCTATTTTTATGTTTGCGGCCCCCACATACACACTTGGTGCACCACACGCAGAGATCATTAATCATCAGTCGGCTGCTAGCTTGAGCCAATGTGGATGTGACATGGGAGGGAGCTTAGGAGATGAAAGGGTGTTTATCTGGGGCTCCTGCATAGAACATCATGTGAGAATAAAGTCAGAGAAAATCAACTACGGCCGTTGTTCTTTAAGGGGCCATAGTCGTAATTTAAATGATGGCTACGTCTCATTGCACTTTGTTGGTTTTTCTAGAGTTTTCTTGGACTTAAACATATTTTCACAAAATAAAATGGCAAAAATCTTCTCTTGCCAGTTGCAAGTAATTGAGTAAATGAGTATGAGGTGTGAAAAGATGTGAGGCGAGTCTGTTTGATGCAGCTGGATGGAACCATTTCTTCTCCGGTTTTGTCCGACAAGAATACCAGATGCATTTTAAGGTAAAGGAGGATTTTCTACTTCCGAGTGCTTCATCAAGACTATTGCTCCTCCCAATTGGCAATAATTCCGGTGATACGTGCTCGTCAAATCGGACCAGACTGTATTGTTCCAAAAGTGGAGAGGGCAGTTCTTTCCTGAAATTTGGGGAAATCCTCCCATACACCTTTAAGAGCCCAGGGAGAAGTCATTATAAATGTATTTATTTAGGAGGTGTGATCAAAGGGGGACCGCACATTGAGACTGGGGCAGCTGAAGATATTTGGTAATTTTTCTGGTATTCTTCCTCGCATTCATTTTGAGTGTAATTATGTTTAAATTATTCTATATTGAATGTACGGTGAAAAAAATCAATCAATCAGGGGGGTAAGTTGAACATTTTCGGAGAGGTTTTAATTTGAGTTTTTACAAGCAGTGTGCCAATTATCAACATTATAACAAATAAAGACTAATTATAACTCACTGTGTGCGTAATGGGTCATCGTCATAATTAATTCCAAATTGTTCTTTCGAAAGATTTTCTGAGTGTCCCCTGTATAGCACTTGCTCCCGTAGGTAATGTAACTTGCCGCACACCCACACATGTATAAAAATAAACACTCTCATTTTGCCAATTGTACCTATAATCATGTGCCTCTTTAGACACAGTTGCTAAAAGTAACATCTCCTGCTTGTCTTCTGTTGTCACATGCCGCCCACCGCTCCTCCTCTGTCTTCTCTTTTACATATTGCCCCGGAATCTCCCTCCTCCACTCCTGATCTGTGGGCTTGCAGGAACTTCCGGAAGCATCTTCGGATGGTGGGCAGCCGGCGGATGAAAGCGCAGAGTGAGTCAGAAATTTGTGGTTGTATGTTCTCTGGGTCTGCCCCACTGTCATCTGTGGGTAAGCATGGTGTGTGGCCTCAGATCTGCTGCTGCTGCTGCTGCTGCTGCTGCTGCTACTGATGATGATGATGATGATGAGAAACTAAAGTGACTCACTGCATGTTCGTGTTTTCACTAAAGGTGTCCGTGCACTTCCCCTGCTTTGGTCTTGCTATGCAGTCCACTGTGTTGCTGAAAGTTTCAAGCCAATTATCTACAGACTGTCTGAGGCACGGAAATGAAAGTTGGCCATACACTTTTAGGTTCTATATTTACACTCACAGCTGCATTGGCAATGAATCTGTTGTCTCACTCAAGCACAGACGAGAGCTCATCCACATTTCTACTGTGTTAAATGCTTTATATGTCCCTGTCTTACAAGCACTAAAAATAGGTGTGTGAATTGCACCTTCGATTTTGGAAATAGCAGTTTTTGTTGGATAATTATCATGTTATGCAAAGTAGTGTTGTGTAAGAACAACTGAGAAGTGGGTCAAGTCTAAATACTGATCAAAATTACTGCAGGGACACGATCTGAACTCGGGTAAAAAAATATATGATAAAATTACAACTGAAATGATCTGAGCAGTATTTATAGACTCAGAATTACATCTACAATACTCCAGCCATTCATTGATCACTCTCAAACAGATACATTTGGGCGATTCCAGGGTGTTGTGCTGTGTGTGGACGTGAACTGTGGTTTTAGTAAGAAAGGCCCTGGTCTCTTGTCCCAGCTGCATCCTGGCCCTGTGTGAGCTGTTGTGCAGTTTTATGGGATATGACCCTTTCGTTTGTACAGTTTATGGTTTGAGCGTGTGATTATTTTCTCGCCGGCATCAGCATTTGCTGAGCTTAGATCGAAGAGTTTCAGCCGCTCCTGGAGTGACCCCATCCCTGTCAAGACTGACTCAACTCATGAGCACAAAGACAGTGAGTGGATACGGACCCTGTATGTGCATGACACTTGTGTTGTATCGTTGCGGAGCCATACCCATATCCCAAGGCCACAGTTGAATGACAATGTGGGTTACATTGTAAATAGGAAGGACATAATGGGTTAATTCAATAAGGAAAAAACTTGAATTGTTCTATAGCTCCTGGTTTGAATCACATAGTATTGTGCCATTGTGCTTGTCTCTTCCACCTTTGCTATCCACAGGTGAAACATCTGCAGGAAAATGACATTCTACAGTTAATTTCATGATATCGACTTATTACATGCAACGTGACAAATGCCAAACTTTTAGTGTAATATTTTGATTATTAAAGTGTACTGTCTATTTTCAAAATATTTACATTTTGATTAAGTTTTATTTGAAGTTTTTGGAATTTCAACATATCAACATTATTACCTATAAATGCTTGATATATCTTTCATCTGTTTCACATTAAAAGTTGTTTAAAAAAAAGTAGTAAATACACAAGTAAATGATTGTGCTTCACAGAGCTTCACCTGTTTGATCGCAGTTTTGCTCAGTGCCAGTCAGAGAGAGCAGGAATGTAATGTAATGGTGCTCCCTGGTCTATATCCTGTACATGTAAGAGGATTACGCGTCCACATAAAGGAGGTATCATTTCTGTGAACTAAAACAAGACAAGAATACAGTCTGCTCATAACCTGGACATGAAGTGGAGTCAGGCGCAGTCTCCCCACAGGAGGTGTCAGATCATCCACTGCTCCTCCTCCACTGACAGGTTAATTACTGCTCAGTGCATTGTTATCAATTAATTTCAAATGCAGATGGCTTCTGAGGTGAACAGAAAGCATTTAGCTTTAATTAGCACACAGTATGATCCGTGTCAGTATGATATGAGTTCAGCTATGATGATATGGTCGTTTTTGTTCCGTTGTTGTGGTTTGTGGGACATAACAATAGCGTGCATAGTATAATGTTGAGTTTTTGCACATTCTACTTCCACCAGTCCTTGTCTCGTGTCCGCTTTGCACTGGTCTGTGCTCAGTTGTTTTGAAGCATTTGATTTTATTAGTGCAGTTTTGATTTGTCAATGTGATGTCGCCTCTGTCTGTAATCTATGGAGAATAATCAAGTTGTTGGTGTTGTGTTACTCTTTATTTTTTTTCTGTCTACAGCGGGGATGTCAAACTTATTTCTTTCTTGAGCCAAAAGAATAAAACTGTATTTCTATCCATCCATTTTCTTCCCCTTAATCCATTTCTGTGTCGAGGGGGGGTGGCAGTCAGAGCTTCTCCCAGTCCACAGAGCACCAGCCCCTCACTGATCCTCCTGCAGGTGCTGAGTCCACAGGAGCTGAGATCTTTCAGTGGGAGCTTCAGGCAAAGTGGGGTTAAGGACACGATGACATCAGACATCAGTAGGAGTCGTGAAGTACGCCTCGTGGTGGGGCTCGAACCCATGACCTTATGCTCAAAGACCAATGCTTTACCAACTGAGCCACAGAGTTTTGTAGTACACTTAAAGAACATGTATTTCCATATCATAAGGTGACAAACATCATTTGGACTTTGCACATTTACATTGTAGTAAAATTACATTATAATGATTGTTGGTGAAAAGTTCAAAAGAAGGAAGTTCTAACAGGAAGTTCACTCCGACTCACTCCGACTTGGCAATTTCCCCAATCTGGTCTCGGCCCACTCCAGTGTGTGTCCAGTTCTCTCAGTCTTTCTCGTAGTCTTGTGCAGCCTCCACAGTGTGTGACATAATTGAGCTAATACTTACTTGGATTTCTGTCACACATTCCACTTACTTTTTCTTGCAGGTTGAAGGAAAAATGTTGATAGTTTTCTTTGGATGCAACACTGTTATACTCTTGTCAGAAGAGGCTTGTTTATTTGTTGCAGCTCGAGCCCTTTGATAAGATAAGATAACAGAACCGTTTTTTTGTCCCAGAGTGGGGAAATGTGCTTCAGCCAGCCCATATGACAGAAGAACATGAGATGGTTTATAAAAAGTTACTGGTTAAAGTTGCACTAACTGACTTTATTTTTGTATTCATTACAAAAAATCAATCCATATCCATGCAGTGAATTGGGACCTTTTGAAGAAAAAGTAGCGCAGATTTGTGCTGGCGGGTCATTTTATTTTAGAAGAGAATTTGTTTCGGGACCAGATTGTGACCAATCACAGCGGACCACTGGCCCCCACTTTCTTGAGAAAATCTACAGGTCTCTTGTTAGCACAGACAGCTGAGGTAAACAAGCGGCGGAAGCTAACCTGAAACTTCCCGTGTCTTAGTTACCCGTTACTGCTTACTCAGAGAAACACCCAAAAGAAAGTCTCGTTCCTCCGTGCTTCCCGGTTCTATCATTCTATGGTCACGGCACGTTCAAATGTGCGACCCATATTGTGAGACGTTAGCTCCGTAAACACATGAGCACAGGCTGAGTGGGAGGGGGGTAGTGGGGGGCGATAGCTTCGTGAGTGGAGGGAGGGGGAGCAGAAGAGCGAGGCCAGCGCTCACATTCGAAAATATCACAAAGTGAGTTAGTGCAGCTTTAACACACAACCGCATAAAAAACACGCAGAAGGACACACACAACAGACAATATGTTCACAAACCTATAATTTCACTTCATTAATATTTTTTTACTTGTCTAATTTAAATTATTATTTAGATATGTTTGATAGATATGTTATATTTTACTTTTACTAACCACTCATTTGTAAAATATCTCTCCTCGAGAAACACGCTTCTAAATAAAACATAACAACAAAACTTTGTTGTCTTTCATTCAAAATTTACTCGAGAACTCTCACTGCTTTCCGACATAATCTGACTATTTTCTAAAGAAATAATATTTCTCTTTAACTTGAGAACAATTCTAACACTTTCTTTTTTGCCCTTGTCCATAAACTGCTCTTTAAATGTTGGCAACCCAAACACAGAAAGGGATCAAACTTCAAACTTCAAGTGACACTGTGCACAGCCACGCAGCTGTGCACAGTGTCACTCCCGTATTCGTTCCCGGAAACCGGTTTCGTCCGGAAGTTCAGTTTGCACATGTCAAAAAGTTGAATATGTCCTTAAGTGGAGACTGGTTAAGTTTACGCGTCTGATTAAGATGGTTAAGTTTAGGGTTAAGGCTGGGTTGGGGTTATTTTATGGGAATGGCTGGTTAAGTTTAGACATGAATAGGTAGTTTTTTATATTTACTTCGACTTCCGTTCAGATTCCGTGACGTAATCTACAGCTGCGTATGCTCATTGGATCAAACTGAACTTCCGGACGAATCCGGTTTCCGGGACGAATAGGGGAGTGACACACAGAACTCCAGGTGAGGGACGTTCAGCTCCAGAAGCGGTGTTTTGGTATCTGACATAAGGGACAGAAACGTGAACGCTGGTTCTTACACAGTTTTATTTGGACAAAGACACACACATTAGACAGGATTTGTTTTTGTCATGGTGTGGATTTTTATTTATTTTGTACTTTGGTTTTATTTTTTAATAAGTTCTCTGTGCTTTGGTTTTAGTTTGACTTCCCCTGTGTTGATTGTCTGCCCCGCCCTGATGTGTTTCTCCTGTGTCTCCTGTGTCTGACCCTATATTGTTGCTGGTCCATTGTTTTGTCAATATCTGTTCCTTCCTGGTCCTGGTCCTGGTCCTGGTCCTGTGTTCTTTTGAATTTTGAGTTTGTTTTCACCTGGACTTTTTTTTATTATCATTAAACCCTTATTTTTTGGCATTCCTGCTTTTTGGGTCTTCATTCACTTCGCCACATGAAAGTTGTTTTTTAAATTTTTTTATGGACACAAATATCTTTTTCCCAGTCAAGATCCCTCGTTAAATCTCATTTGATTTCAACACAGACAGTCAGTGGTCAAAGTTGTACTGTGGACAAAAACTTCTACACAATCTAAATGATAATGATAATCTGAACACACTATTTCCCTTTCAAATTACATACTAACATTTGTTAACAGAATCATACAGTCAATGAAACACATGTAGTTCCTGAGCACTTCTCATGTCATTCATTCACTCCACACACACTGACAAAAGCAAGGCAACCAGTTTGTGCCATTCGGCCCCTCGGACCACCACCAAATACACATACATACACACACATACACACACACACACACACACACCCATTCTAGGCAATGTGGGTGAAGTGTAAAGTAAAGTAAAGTATCAGTTTGTACGGTACATTCTTTTTTTTTTTGGAATATTTTGTGTTCCTGTGGAAACTATCCTTGTACAACTTTGTTTTCGATGCCTGACCGAATAAACTAAACTAAACTAAGTGTCTTGCCTAAGGACACGACAACCGTTTGGCACTTTGCAGCCGCAGCCGCCCCACTGTGGCACCTGCTGCTCCCAGAGGTCTCCCATCACAGTACTATTCAGGCCATGTCCTCCTAGCTTCAGGGGTCTACAGGATCTGGCGTAACCTTTGAAATATATTCTGATTGAGTCTGTTGTAAATGTCCACTCTTACAGCCACTGCAGCATCACAAGACGAAATACACAAAAATGTTAACTTTTTCTCTAGTTTTTTTTATTATATTTGAATTGTTGGAGTGAAAACACACCTCATGACGGCCCTTTGAGGACTGCTTTAAAGACCACTGCATTACAACAATCCAAACAAGAATAGATAAAAGGACGCACTACTTTCTCCAGATCTGCATGTGGCACAAACGATGTAAACATTCTAAGGTATTGCTCAATAGAAACAGCATAACAATTTTAATTTCCTGAGTTTCACCTGAAGACTTTGTCCATGAGTCTGTATAAAGGTGGTTCTCCCTCAAACATCCTTACCAATCACTCATGCACTGTGCTGCTGCTTCTGCTGCTTCTGCTGCTTCTGCTGCTTCTGCTGCTTCTGCTGCCGTCTGCACAGTGGCCTTCTTCCATCTGTCACTGTGTCCCGTCATTAAGGGTTCCATTCGCTCGCTCCTCTTCCTCCTATAGCTACAACCACCTCCCACTCGGCCCCCGTCTGTCAGCCCCATTAACCCTTCTCTCCGGGGCCCTGCCTTTTGCTTCAGGTGGAGAATTGCAGGCGTCCAGTGGAAACGTGGATGAGGGCGGTCATCAAGAGGACAGCCTGGACTGGGAGGAGGAGAAGGAGCAAGAGAGACTGGCATGTGAAGGAGATGACTTTGTACCGCCCAAAATTATGGTGAGTCAGACAGTGTCAATGAATGTCAATTAAAGCTGGGGTTGCAGACTTTTTTCAGGAATGATGTTGTTTCAAACATTCACACTATTGTATTGTCTAAACAGAAAGTGTCTTGTAAAAATGTGATTTATTTTACACATCAGGCCACGACATGCTGTCTTTGTCTTCTTTTGCACGTTTGTAAGAAAGAACCCTGTGAGTCACTATTTGACGGTTTGGGCTGAGAGATGATTGGCTTTTCTGTGACACCAAAAGTACATGCATGTGAAATCTTTTGAGAGCAATTAAGGAACTAGATTGATTTTATTTTACTTACTTTGTTTGTGATTTGAAGGTAATTTACAGTCTGTTTCCGCCATATTAAGAAAAAAAAGGCATCATGGCAGTCAGTATCATGGTCAGTATTTTGAGTTTTAACTCATGAATGTATGTTTTTAATCGATAGAGGGCAGCATTACACTTGATTGTACATTTGAAGTACTTTGTACAGCAGACAACAACCAAACCTTTACATGAATAAATACATTCCAGTGAGTATTGCGCCAAAGGTTACGTAACATTTCATTTTCACAATTACTACAGACAAAAGTTACAAAGTACTTACCAATATCGGCCATTGACCTCGATGTGGCAGAGTCCAGACCACACTCCCGTCCTTTGTTTGCAGGCCTGTGGCCATAAATGGCGTCCATCTCGTCATACCACCAGGTCTTCCGATTGGTCCCACTTCGGCCGTTGTGGTCCTTTATGGCCCGGTAATCGCTCTTCAGTTTTTTAATCTTGTCCCTGCTCTGCTGGTGCGTACTGTGGTAACCGTGTGCGACCAAGAGCTGGGCGATCTCTTTCCGTGTACTGCCATCGAGCTCCTTCTGTATTCTGTCTTCGGCCACTGAAGACAGTAATGTTTGGACCTCATCAACCGACCACGGTGTGGACTTTTGCGGCTTACTGGATTCCATTTCTCAAACAAGCGGAGTGCAGTGCGTGTGCTCAGAGGCGGTTTTAAAAATGGCGGGGTTGAGTCGTGTCTCTCATACGGTCAGACGTTGCACGTATGACACTTCCAGTGACGACACTCGTTGGCCAATTAGTGTAAGGCAGTCTGCCCACGTCACGTCATGGTGTAGCTTCGGCCCACCATGGAACCACGGCCGAGGCAGTACGAAAAAAGAATGCAGTACCGCGCCGTGTCGTGTCATGCCGTACCGTACCGTTACTGTGGAAAAGCAGCATTAGATAACATCATGGCACAGGAGTTGGTACAAAAGATTTAATCATAAAAGGCCAGTAATAGAAGTGTGGCTGAAGAAGTCACATTCATTATATAATGGTCAGTACCATGGTCAGTTTCATGGTTTGTATCATGGTCAGTACCATGGTCAGTTTCATGGTCAGTATCATGGTCAGTACCATGGTCAGTACCATGATCTGTACCATGATCTGTACCATGATCTGTACCATGATCTGTACCATGGTCAGTACCATGGTCAGTACCATGGTCAGTACCATGATCAGTACCATGGTCAGTACCATGGTCAGTACCATGATCAGTACCATGGTCAGTACCATGGTCAGTACCATGGTCAGTACCATGGTTAGCACCATGGTCAGTACCATGATCAGTACCATGGTCAGTACCATGGTCAGTACCATGATCTGTACCATGGTCAGTACCATGTTCAGTACCATGATCTGTACCATGGTCAGTACCATGATCTGTACCATGGTCAGTACCATGGTCAGTACCATGATCTGTACCATGATCTGTACCATGATCTGTACCATGGTCAGTACCATGGTCAGTACCATGGTCAGTACCATGGTCAGTACCATGGTCAGTACCATGGTCAGTACCATGATCAGTACCATGGTCAGTACCATGGTCAGTACCATGATCTGTACCATGGTCAGTACCATGGTCAGTACCATGGTCAGTACCATGGTCAGTACCATGATCTGTACCATGGTCAGTACCATGGTCAGTACCATGGTCAGTACCATGATCAGTACCATGGTCAGTACCATGGTCAGTACCATGGTCAGTACCATGGTCAGTACCATGGTCAGTACCATGATCTGTACCATGGTCAGTACCATGGTCACACTGACAGTGCGACAGTTCACACAGGAGTTGATTTCCAGTTAAGAAATAGGCTACAGGGTAAAGCCTTCTCAGACCAAAGTATTTTGCATCAATGGCTTTTACAAGATTAAACCTTTAGAAAATGTGACGAGTGGATGTGTTAAAGTCTCTCCATCCATTAAATGCTACGGCAAAACAATGATCCCAAAATTATTGCTGTTTTTTTCATGAATGCGGTAGTCACTACAAGTGGTTGTTCAGCACAAGCCCAGAGTGACTTGGGACTTTTCACTTTAGTGAAATGCACATCCGTACAGTAGGATCAAAGGGTCTGAAAAAGCTGGTAACAAACTGGAGCAAGAGTATATATTATATCTACACCTTACACAGTGTCACTGCTTTTTATTTTCATAGTTTTCAAAGTGATTTTATTATTTTCCAGTTTATAACAATCACTCTCTTTTATAAACACTGTACAGGTGCATGGTTGACTGTCAGTAAAGACAGTATCTTGAGAACACATATTGAATGCACTGGAAAATCACTTCTTGGCTTTGTTTTGTGTAATGTGCAGAGTGCATCCCATATGTTCCCGCAGCAGTGAGGAGGCTGCAGCTTAAATCTGTTTGAATCAGTGGGAGTTAGGATTTACAGTTGACCTGTTCATAATATTGTATGCTTTAAACTTTCCACACCAAATTCCACTTGGTCTGGTTCACTGTAACCACCAAAAATGCTTTATTTATGGCTCTAACATCTGTCCATTAGTCCACTTGTCACTTAAAGAAGACACGGTGGCGCAGTGGTTAGCATTACCGTGAAGCAAGAAGGTTTCGATTCGATTCCACCGTCAGACCTTTCTGTGTGGAGTTTGCATGTTCTCCCTGCGCCTGTGTAGGTTTCCTCTGTGTGGTTCGCTTTCAACTACTACTAAAAACATGTATGATAGTTCCCCCTATGACACCCCCTCTTATTGCCAGGGCCAGGACTCCTCTGAAAAAGCCGTTCCAAAATATGGCTGTTTAAAATATTCAAATAAAAATGTGTACATATATAATTTTCTTTGAATAAATTCCGTTTTGACTTTTGTAACAGATTTTTTCCAAGTGAACAGGTTTTGGTCCAGCTAAAGTAAACACAAACAGCAAGTCTGAAAGTGCTCTAGGTCTATAACAGAACAATAGTTAGTCCAAAATAACAACTAAATCAGGTCCACAAGTTTAAGCTGAAGTAGTTCTGTATTGAAGAAAAGCTCTTGTATCATGAAAGTTTGCCACAGCTTCTGCATTAATATAAAACAGTGTTTGGAGTTGTTTAATGATCTCTCCTCTTCTCCGTCTCTCTCTCTGTTTCTCCTTCACCTGCAGCTGATCTCATCCAAGGTCCCCAAGGCAGAGTATGTTCCCACTATAATCCGCAGGGATGACCCTTCAATCATCCCCATCCTCTACGTGAGTCCATCCACCGACACACAACCAGAGGCAGCTCTGACAGCTCCTAGAGCCGCACCTGCTCTGCATGAAATACTCTATGATAAGATTATCTCCTGCTCAAGTGAATACTAATGCTGCTTCTTTCATCCAGGACCATGAACACGCCACGTTTGATGACATTTTAGGCAAGTAGCGCCGAGTCACCAACCTCTGCTTGTGTGTGAGCTGCACTAGATTAAGAGATCCTTTATTTGTGCCACAGTGGGGAAATGCCAGTGTTGCCTCACCAGTCACAGAACAGTACGAGTGAGGAGCACACAAAATAAATGAATAACTATATACTAAACTAAAATAAGATAAAACCTCTAGCTTTTGCATAATGAAGAAGCAAAAATGAAGTGTAAAAGAAGTTGGTTTGGCTGGGTTGAACGAAGACTTTGACCACTTGTCAATCTATTGAATATGTTAATGAAGCCTAATGGTGTTGCTTCAAAACAGTAAGTCTTCTCTGGGGCTCTCTGGGGTATACTGTATATAGTGGAGAGTTTATATACAGTATACCTTTTGCCTAGTTTACTTTGATTTACACATGCAGCCATTAATGTCTTCTAATTTCCGCAGAGCCATTAAACACATTTCCTGCTTTTGCCTCACGTAATAACCAAAACAACGGTACTTAATTCCAATGATACAAACAAGTCGTGTGTTTTCCCTGTGCTCCTAAATGCATCTGCTAGCCCTGTCTTAGGGTCCGGTTTACGTGGCTACATGCCAGTGTAACCGAAGTATACATTACTTTATCCAGTTACGCCAAACATATCTTTATGTCACAGCCCAGTCCAGGAGTATTTCCAGAGACTTGGGGTTTATGTTTTATTATTAAAACAGCACTAAAATACATTGTCCTGAATTACATAGAATGCACAGTATTGTCTATTAAATTTCTTTTTCAATCCTAACATAGTTTCATTTCCTTATAAGACTGTTTATTATCATTAGAAGCAGCAGTAATGTGACAATATTCGTTACTTGTGTGTACTGCACCTAATTTCTTTGTAGTACAAAGGAAAAGGGAAACTCCAATACAAATATATTATATATGATAATAACAGTTTTTTTTTCGGACTACTGCAAATATTTTGTTTTCTCTCTGTCATTATTCTAAAAGTGAATTTTAGTCTTTTATTCCAGACACTAATAGTGCAATGATGAGCTGACTTGGCATAATGTCCAGAACAATGATACTATAATATATGCAAATTACAGTTTTATTAATAATCATCTGGTTTATTATGACTATACAGCCTCACAGACACTGTTCACGCTAATTCATCATTCATTGATCTGCAGTCATTACAAGCACTTACAAAGCAGCTTCTTCTGCTATAGAATCAGAAATAAACTGCACTGTATTCAAAGTTACACTGCTCTTGAACTCAGTCTCCACAGATTTCACTTTCTATGACTCCTTGATGCACATTTTCCCTCAGCTCGTTTTCAACTCCTCACATCTCACCACCTTTTCTTGTGTCTCTCGCAGAGGAGATCGAGAAGAAGCTCACAGCGTACAGACGGGGCAGCAAGTTTTGGAGAATGCTCATCTTCTGTCAGGTTAGAAAAAAGTAGTCTACGCAGGACCATTGGTAAATAGGCGGCTGGATTTGTCAGACAAGAATATAAGGTTAAGCTCAGAATAGTACACTCTGTCCACAGCATGCAGACATGAGCAAACTAAAAAGTACAAAAATTACCAGAATGTTTATAACCTCAACATGTCTCGCCCTAGCCTGGCCATATCCATCCGTACCATAGACTGTATATATTAACGGACAGAGTCATGTCTATCTTCGCCGTTCTAACTAATGGGCCAAAAAATGTGCTCTACTGGAGCAATCCAAAATGGCCGCGAGTGGTCCCGCCCACAAGAAAATTGTGAAAAAACGCATCTGCGCATGCGTCAGCCGGAGCAGCTCCATTCATTTAAACGAGAGACTTCAAAAATTCACAGCGACTAAACTAGAGTGGACCAAAACACTCACTCAGCATTGACACACATGTGGAACGGAGCTTTGGGCCAAGAGACAACTTTTGGTCCATCCTGTAAAGACGTTTTTGAGAGGTCTGCCAATGCTATATGTTAGCATTGGCTAATTCTTCTTCTGGGTCCACCCCCACAGGCCCGGGGTGGTACTGCAGCATGTCAGCGCACGTCATTTTGGCCAATTTTGAGCCGGGATCCTCCCACACTGATCCGTACACTCCGCTCAATCATCATTTCACTGCATGTAGCGTCTGGGTCTGGTCCCTGTGTTAGCGAATACAATCGGTCGTATTTTGACCGGCTACTCAGAGAGCGCGTTGTAGGTCGGTGCCGGTGACGTCAAGAGTTTGCGCCGAACGGGCAGGTTGTGGTTTGGCAATGGCGAAGAATGCGGTAGTAAAGTATTCTGGTCTGGTTCTATCAAGAAATTGAAACAGGAGCAAGAGGAATGTTTAGCAAATGTAATCACTGGTCAAGATTGTGGCGCTACTCCCCACGGGCTCCGTTAGCAGCAAAGGAGATGGCTAAAGCTAGGCTAAATGCTAATGCTAACAACTCACTCGGGCTCATTACGTCACAGTAAACTCAGATCCAATGGTTTCAATCTGCAAAAGGAGTTAACCCCTCCCACCTGTTCACGGAGTCAATGGAGCAAATCCAGACCTTAGAATGAAATGAAATTTGTACTGTGGTGTGGTACGACCAGGTTAGTCTCGCCCCTGTGGTTGTTAGATGGCTTTTCCTTTGGATTGGTCTGTTTTTAGGTGTGTTGTGTTTCTTTGGGAACCTTCTCCTTCTACGAGGTTTGCTAGGCTTTATTAGCGTCACTAATATTGTCCCCCCGTTCTGGATTTGTTGAATAGCTCTGAATAGTTTCCCCACATCTGAACACTTTAGCTCGAATACGAAAATGTAAATCTACCTTTTTATTGAAACCAATATAAAGTGAGATTTAGTGAAGAACGTTTTGTTGGAATGTTGATTTGTGACTCTTAGCAGGTAAAAACCCAAAGGAAGCATCTAAAAAGAAAGTTCAATTATTAATCAATCTTTATTTGAGGGCTTTTCCTACACAGGGTAACACAACGCGCGTATTATTTTGAATCATATATCATATACTGGTTTCACATTTTAGGTTAAATTAACAAAAATAGATTTTGAATGAGTTTAATTTGTAAATGTGTTGAAGAGATTATATATAATTTTTCGTAGAGACAGGCCTCTGCCAAATTAATCAACAACTACATAGTATTTGCAGCCAGGAATATTATAAACTATAATCATATTGTATAGCAAACACGACTAAAACCACCTTGTAACACGTGACGTTGGCAATTTTATTTACAAATTCCTAGCTCTGATACTAACTCTTGGTGCTTTCCTGTGTGCGTTCACGTACACAAATGACCCATGTGACATCATAAATATGTTGAGGCAAGAAAGGAAGTTTATTTGTAGAGCACAGTGATTAACAAAACAACAGAATCATCACACGAGGCATTCAAATCATAAAAAATGTAATGTAAAAAGATGTAATCAGTCAGTTGTATAAACAGCTAAACAGAACTGGTTTTATCTTGGATTTGAACTTTGTCAGTGTAGAAGCCTATCTCGCATTTTCAAGAGAACTGTTCCAGATTTTAGCTTCATAAATGGGAAATGCGGCCTCCCTATGTTTAGTTCTGACACACAACCAGAGGACAGTCCCTGTGCTCCTCCGAGTCCGAGTTGGTTCATGTCACGGATGTCTAAAGTCCATTCTCTGAGCCTTGAACTCTTTCCACTTTGGTTTTCAACAGTACAGCCTTTGCATCGGGCAAACATGTCCCGCTGTGACTGTACGGTTCTCATGGAGGGTAATCGGACTGTGCTGTTTTTCAGGGAGGTCCTGGTCATCTGTACTTACTCAAGAATAAAGTGGCCACGTTTGCAAAGGTGGAAAAGGAAGAGGATATGAGCCAGTAAGTTACACAGTTTCTTTATTTGATCAGTGCCTCTGTTATAATCATACTATCATAAATCAAGGGTGCCCAAACCTTGATACTTTGAAAACACGGCATCGTGTTGTGGCAATGAATGTTATACTTTATCCTTTTGTACAGCCACATGTTGATTACAGATGAGAAGAACTGCCGTGGAATTAATGTCTGTGAAAAAATATTCTTTCCACGCAGATTTAAAATGCCTCTTGTCTGCATGCCACTGCCGATGATGCGCCATTTTGTTCAAGTTAATACCGCAAACTTGACGCTGCAGGCGCAATGGCTCATGGGGATCCTCTCAAATTGATAAAACCTTCAAATTTGCCAAGAAATTCACAGTAGGCTTGCACCCAATTGTTTTGATAACATTGTGTTAATTTCAAAAGCCTTTTAGTTTGTAAGTTGATGTGAACCATGAGTGAGGCGTGTATCCCCATACGTCACTAAAACACTGGACTATTTAACATGAAGCTCATGCGGATGTTCAGACTGAAAGACCGAGTTCCTGCCAATCTCACAGCACTGCCAGCCTCGAGCATCAGCCAATCAAACAGCTCAGCCAGCCTTGAGCCTCAGCCAATCACACAGCCCGGCCAGCCTCCTGCCAACCCTCTGGCACCAAGCGGGCAGTTTAAAAGGCAGCCACTTCCTGACAAACAGCGCTTCCTGAAAGCTCTAAACACCCACCACCTCCCCAGCACCCCCCTCGGCTCCTGCTTTGGCTCTGGCTCTGGCTCCGGCTCTGGCTCTGGCTCTGGCTCTGGCTCTGGCTCCGGCTCCGGCTCTGGCTCTGGCTCTGGCTCTGGCTCTGGCTTCTGCTCCGGCTCCTGCTCCGCCTACGCCCCATTCACACCATGCTTCTAGCCACCACCAGTGCTTGACCCCGGTCAAGCACTGGTGGTCATCTTCAGCTGCAATCGAACTCATAGCTGCAAGTGTCACTGCCGGGGTCAATGCGCCAAACAAATAAATGATTTTAATGTAGATACTTTGCAGGTCAATCGAAGCTGCCGGAACCACTTTGGACACCCCTGCTCTAAATGATGCACTGCTAGGGCTTGATGCAGTTGATTTAGAAAAAACTAATTCACTAAAAGCAAGCCATGGTGTCTTAAAAAACTATATATATAGTATATAGAAAGCTAATTATAGTCTTGGCATTTTCTGTATTCTGTGTAGTGTATGCTGTATGTTCTTGACAGTCTGGGCAGCTGTAAGTGCAGCCCATGAAACAGGCACTCTAAACCATTCTTTAATGATACAAGGAAGATTTCATCTCAGATCTTCATCCAAACAAAACTATCTGGTTTGATAAAATATATCTTTAACCCCAAATAAAAGCTTTTGTTGATTTAAAGTGACTGTATATGATATTTTAAATTGCCTTTTTTATGTGTCTAATTCTATCTAATTTGGTCTTTTCTGATTATTATGCAATCCGAAATTTGGGTTAATAGTTCTTTTTTTCTTTCCTTTTCATTCAATGACTTTTTTGTTTTTCACAAAATTCAAACAAAAACACTACCACACATTTGTACATTAATCCACACATGTAATTAATAAAAATTATCAGTGTTTACGATCAGCAGTTGACACAAGCACGATGTATTGGACCATTAGTGTGTTTTATAAACTGTCCCTTTATGTGCTTAGACCATCTTCTGAACGTTATTCCTGCAGCCCTAGAATCCTGCACTGAATGTAATGCAATTAAATACATTTGATTAATATTAAATACATCTTTCACAGATTCTGGAAGAGATTAAGTCGCATGATGAGTAAGATCAACCCTGAGCCAAACCTCATTCACATCATGGGCTGCTACGTCCTAGGGAACCCCAACGGAGAGAAGGTACATGACCTCTGTCTCTGTCTCTGTGACTTGGTTTTTCCATTTGTCAAAAGGAATGATCTTTTCCCTAATTTTTTGACATTCAATTCTCTCCAAGCAGCTTATTTCACTTTTCAATTTTTATTCAGTTTGGGATTATCAATCGTATTGTTTTTGTAAGGAAATATAGGTAATATGTAAGTAAATGAGCACCCGTGTACACAGCAAGAAGGTCCTGCGGGGGCGAGTCCTGCGGGGGCGAGTCCTGCGGGGGCGAGTCCTGCTGGGGGCGAGTCCTGCTGGGGGCGAGTCCTGCTGGGGGCGAGTCCTGCGAGTCCTGCTGGGGGCGAGTCCTGCGGGGGCGAGTCCTGCGGGGGCGAGTCCTGCGGGGGCGAGTCCTGCGGGGGCGAGTCCTGCGGGGGCGAGTCCTGCTGGGGGCAAGTCCTGCTGGGGGCGAGTCCTGCGAGTCCTGCTGGGGGCGAGTCCTGCGGGGGCGAGTCCTGCGGGGGCGAGTCCTGCGGGGGCGAGTCCTGCTGGGGGCAAGTCCTGCTGGGGGCGAGTCCTGCTGGGGGCGAGTCCTGCGGGGGCGAGTCCTGCTGGGGGCAAGTCCTGCTGGGGGCGAGTCCTGCGAGTCCTGCTGGGGGCGAGTCCTGCGGGGGCGAGTCCTGCGGGGGCGAGTCCTGCTGGGGGCGAGTCCTGCGAGTCCTGCTGGGGGCGAGTCCTGCGGGGGCGAGTCCTGCGGGGGCGAGTCCTGCGGGGGCGAGTCCTGCTGGGGGCAAGTCCTGCTGGGGGCGAGTCCTGCGGGGGGGCGAGTCCTGCGGGGGCGAGTCCTGCTGGGGGCAAGTCCTGCTGGGGGCGAGTCCTGCGAGTCCTGCTGGGGGCGAGGCCTGCGAGTCCTGCTGGGGGCGAGTCCTGCGAGTCCTGCTGGGGGCGAGTCCTGCGAGTCCTGCTGGGGGCGAGTCCTGCGGGGGCGAGTCCTGCGGGGGCGAGTCCTGCGGGGGCGAGTCCTGCTGGGGGCGAGTCCTGCTGGGGGCGAGTCCTGCTGGGGGCGAGTCCTGCGAGTCCTGCTGGGGGCGAGTCCTGCGGGGCGAGTCCTGCGGGGGCGAGTCCTGCGGGGGCGAGTCCTGCGGGGGGCGAGTCCTGGGGTCCTGCTGGGGGCGAGTCCTGCGAGTCCTGCTGGGGGCGAGTCCTGCGGGGGCGAGTCCTGCGGGGGCGAGTCCTGCGGGGGCGAGTCCTGCGGGGGCGAGTCCTGCTGGGGGCAAGTCCTGCTGGGGGCGAGTCCTGCGGGGGCGAGTCCTGCGGGGGCGAGTCCTGCTGGGGGCAAGTCCTGCTGGGGGCGAGTCCTGCTGGGGGCGAGTCCTGCGAGTCCTGCTGGGGGCGAGTCCTGCGGGGCGAGTCCTGCGGGGGCGAGTCCTGCGGGGGCGAGTCCTGCGGGGGCGAGTCCTGCGGGGGCGAGTCCTGCTGGGGGCAAGTCCTGCTGGGGGCGAGTCCTGCGAGTCCTGCTGGGGGCGAGTCCTGCGGGGGCGAGTCCTGCGGGGGCGAGTCCTGCGGGGGCGAGTCCTGCGGGGGCGAGTCCTGCTGGGGGCAAGTCCTGCTGGGGGCGAGTCCTGCGGGGGCGAGTCCTGCGGGGGCGAGTCCTGCTGGGGGCAAGTCCTGCTGGGGGCGAGTCCTGCGAGTCCTGCTGGGGGCGAGTCCTGCGGGGGCGAGTCCTGCGGGGGCGAGTCCTGCTGGGGGCGAGTCCTGCGAGTCCTGCTGGGGGCGAGTCCTGCGGGGGCGAGTCCTGCGGGGGCGAGTCCTGCGGGGGCGAGTCCTGCTGGGGGCAAGTCCTGCTGGGGGCGAGTCCTGCGGGGGCGAGTCCTGCGGGGGCGAGTCCTGCTGGGGGCAAGTCCTGCTGGGGGCGAGTCCTGCGAGTCCTGCTGGGGGCGAGGCCTGCGAGTCCTGCTGGGGGCGAGTCCTGCGAGTCCTGCTGGGGGCGAGTCCTGCGAGTCCTGCTGGGGGCGAGTCCTGCGGGGGCGAGTCCTGCGAGTCCTGCGGGGGCGAGTCCTGCTGGGGGCGAGTCCTGCTGGGGGCGAGTCCTGCGAGTCCTGCTGGGGGCGAGTCCTGCGAGTCCTGCTGGGGGCGAGTCCTGCGGGGGCGAGTCCTGCGGGGGCGAGTCCTGCGGGGCGAGTCCTGCGGGGGCGAGTCCTGCGGGGCGAGTCCTGCGGGGCGAGTCCTGCTGGGGGCAAGTCCTGCTGGGGGCGAGTCCTGCGAGTCCTGCTGGGGGCGAGTCCTGCGGGGGCGAGTCCTGCGGGGGCGAGTCCTGCGGGGGCGAGTCCTGCTGGGGGCGAGTCCTGCTGGGGGCAAGTCCTGCTGGGGGCGAGTCCTGCGGGGGCGAGTCCTGCGGGGGCGAGTCCTGCTGGGGGCAAGTCCTGCTGGGGGCGAGTCCTGCGAGTCCTGCTGGGGGCGAGTCCTGCGGGGGCGAGTCCTGCGGGGGCGAGTCCTGCTGGGGGCGAGTCCTGCGAGTCCTGCTGGGGGCGAGTCCTGCGGGGGGCGAGTCCTGCGGGGGCGAGTCCTGCGGGGGCGAGTCCTGCTGGGGGCAAGTCCTGCTGGGGGCGAGTCCTGCGGGGGCGAGTCCTGCGGGGGCGAGTCCTGCTGGGGGCAAGTCCTGCTGGGGGCGAGTCCTGCGAGTCCTGCTGGGGGCGAGGCCTGCGAGTCCTGCTGGGGGCGAGTCCTGCTGGGGGCGAGTACTGCGAGTCCTGCTGGGGGCGAGTCCTGCGAGTCCTGCTGGGGGCGAGTCCTGCGGGGGCGAGTCCTGCTGGGGGCGAGTCCTGCGAGTCCTGCGAGTCCTGCTGGGGGCGAGTCCTGCGGGGGCGAGTCCTGCGGGGGCTAGTCCTGCTGGGGCGAGTCCTGCGAGTCCTGCTGGGGCGAGTCCTGCTGGGGGCGAGTCCTGCGAGTCCTGCTGGGGGCGAGTCCTGCGAGTCCTGCTGGGGGCAAGTCCTGCGGGGGCGAGTCCTGCGAGTCCTGCTGGGGGCGAGTCCTGCGGGGGCGAGTCCTGCTGGGGGCGAGTCCTGCGAGTCCTGCTGGGGCGAGTCCTGCGAGTCCTGCTGGAGCGAGTCCTGCTGGGGGCGAGTCCTGCTGGGGGCGAGTCCTGCGAGTCCTACTGGGGGCGAGGCCTGCGAGTCCTGTGGGGCGAGTCCTGCGGGGGCGAGGCCTGCGAGTCCTGCTGGGGGCGAGTCCTGCGGGGGCGAGAGTCCTGCTGGGGGCGAGTCCTGCGGGGGGCGAGTCCTGCGGCTGTCCTGGGGGCTAGTCCTGCGGGGGCGAGTCCTGCTGGGGGCGAGTCCTGCTGGGGCGAGTCCTGCTGGGGGCGAGTCCTGCGGTCTGCTGGGGGCGAGTCCTGCTGGGGGCGAGTCCTGCTGGGGGCGAGTCCTGGGGCGAGTCCTGCTGGGGGCGAGTCCTGCTGGGGGCTAGTCCTGCTGGGGGCGAGTCCTGCTGGGGGCGAGTCCTGCTGGGGGCGAGTCCTGCTGGGGGCGAGTCCTGCGGGGGCTAGTCCTGCTGGGGGCGAGTCCTGCTGGGGGCGAGTCCTGCTGGGGGCGAGTCCTGCTGGGGGCGAGTCCTGCGGGGGCTAGTCCTGCTGGGGGCGAGTCCTGCTGGGGGCGAGTCCTGCGGGGGCTAGTCCTGCTGGGGGGCGAGTCCTGCTGGGGGCGAGTCCTGCTGGGGGCGAGTCCTGCGGGGGCGAGTCCTGCGGGGGCGAGTCCTGCTGGGGGCGAGTCCTGCTGGGGGCGAGTCCTGCTGGGGGCGAGTCCTGCGGGGGCTAGTCCTGCTGGGGGCGAGTCCTGCGGGGGCGAGTCCTGCTGGGGGCGAGTCCTGCGGGGGCGAGTCCTGCTGGGGGCGAGTCCTGCTGGGGGCGAGTCCTGCGAGTCCTGCTGGGGGCGAGTCCTGCGTGGGCGAGTCCTGCGGGGGGCGAGGCCTGCGAGTCCTGCGAGTCCTGCTGGGGGCGAGTCCTGCGGGGGTGAGTCCTGCGGGGGCGAGTCCTGCGGGGGCGAGTCCTGCTGGGGCTAGTCCTGCTGGGGGCGAGTCCTGCTGGGGCTAGTCCTGCGAGTCCTGCTGGGGGCGAGTCCTGCGGGGGCGAGTCCTGCGGGGGCGAGTCCTGCGGGGGCGAGTCCTGCTGGGGGCAAGTCCTGCTGGGGGCGAGTCCTGCGGGGGCGAGTCCTGCGGGGGCGAGTCCTGCTGGGGGCAAGTCCTGCTGGGGGCGAGTCCTGCGAGTCCTGCTGGGGGCGAGGCCTGCGAGTCCTGCTGGGGGCGAGTCCTGCGAGTCCTGCTGGGGGCGAGTCCTGCGAGTCCTGCTGGGGGCGAGTCCTGCGGGGGCGAGTCCTGCTGGGGGCGAGTCCTGCGAGTCCTGCGAGTCCTGCTGGGGGCGAGTCCTGCGAGTCCTGCGGGGGCGAGTCCTGCGGGGGCTAGTCCTGCTGGGGCGAGTCCTGCGAGTCCTGCTGGGGCGAGTCCTGCTGGGGCGAGTCCTGCTGGGGGCGAGTCCTGCGAGTCCTGCTGGGGGCGAGTCCTGCGAGTCCTGCTGGGGGCAAGTCCTGCGGGGGCGAGTCCTGCGAGTCCTGCTGGGGGCGAGTCCTGCGGGGGCGAGTCCTGCTGGGGGCGAGTCCTGCGAGTCCTGCTGGGGCGAGTCCTGCGAGTCCTGCTGGAGCGAGTCCTGCTGGGGCGAGTCCTGCGGGGGCGAGTCCTGCGAGTCCTGCTGGGGGCGAGTCCTGCTGGGGGCGAGTCCTGCGAGTCCTGCTGGGGGCGAGTCCTGCGGGGGCGAGTCCTGCGAGTCCTGCTGGGGGCGAGTCCTGCGGGGGCGAGTCCTGCGAGTCCTGCTGGGGGCGAGTCCTGCGGGGGGCGAGTCCTGCGAGTCCTGCTGGGGGCTAGTCCTGCGGGGGCGAGTCCTGCTGGGGGCGAGTCCTGTTGGGGGCGAGTCCTGCTGGGGGCGAGTCCTGCGGGGGGCGAGTCCTGCGAGTCTTGCTGGGGGCGAGTCCTGCGGGGGCGAGTCCTGCTGGGGGCGAGTCCTGCTGGGGGCGAGTCCTGCGGGGGCTAGTCCTGCTGGGGGCGAGTCCTGCTGGGGGCGAGTCCTGCTGGGGGCGAGTCCTGCGGGGGCGAGTCCTGCGAGTCCTGCTGGGGGCGAGTCCTGCTGGGGGCTAGTCCTGCTGGGGGCGAGTCCTGCTGGGGGCGAGTCCTGCTGGGGGCGAGTCCTGCTGGGGGCGAGTCCTGCTGGGGGCTAGTCCTGCTGGGGGCGAGTCCTGCTGGGGGCGAGTCCTGCTGGGGGCGAGTCCTGCTGGGGGCGAGTCCTGCGGGGGCTAGTCCTGCTGGGGGCGAGTCCTGCTGGGGGCGAGTCCTGCGGGGGCTAGTCCTGCTGGGGGCGAGTCCTGCTGGGGGCGAGTCCTGCGGGGGCGAGTCCTGCGGGGGCGAGTCCTGCGGGGGCGAGTCCTGCTGGGGGCGAGTCCTGCTGGGGGCGAGTCCTGCTGGGGGCGAGTCCTGCGGGGGCTAGTCCTGCTGGGGGCGAGCCCTGCGGGGGCGAGTCCTGCTGGGGGCGAGGCCTGCGGGGGCTAGTCCTGCTGGGGGCGAGTCCTGCTGGGGGCGAGTCCTGCGAGTCCTACTGGGGGCGAGGCCTGCGTGGGCGAGTCCTGCGGGGGCGAGGCCTGCGAGTCCTGCTGGGGGCGAGTCCTGCGGGGGTGAGTCCTGCGGGGGCGAGTCCTGCTGGGGCTAGTCCTGCTGGGGGCGAGTCCTGCTGGGGCTAGTCCTGCTGGGGGCGAGTCCTGCTGGGGCTAGTCCTGCTGGGGGCGAGTCCTGCGGGGGCTAGTCCTGCTGAGGGCGAGTCCTGCTGGGGCTAGTCCTGCTGGGGGCGAGTCCTGCTGGGGCTAGTCCTGCTGGGGCTAGTCCTGCTGGGGGCGAGTCCTGCTGGGGGCGAGTCCTGCTGGGGGCGAGTCCTGCTGGGGGCGAGTCCTGCTGGGGGCGAGTCCTGCGGGGGCTAGTCCTGCGGGGGCTAGTCCTGCTGGGGGCGAGTCCTGCTGGGGGCGAGGCCTGCGGGGGCTAGTCCTGCTGGGGGCGAGTCCTGCTGGGGGCGAGTCCTGCTGGGGGCGAGTCCTGCGAGTCCTGCTGGGGGCGAGTCCTGCGAGTCCTGCTGGGGGCGAGCCCTGCGGGGGCGAGTCCTGCTGGGGGCGAGGCCTGCGGGGGCTAGTCCTGCTGGGGGCGAGTCCTGCTGGGGGCGAGTCCTGCGAGTCCTACTGGGGGCGAGGCCTGCGTGGGCGAGTCCTGCGGGGGCGAGGCCTGCGAGTCCTGCTGGGGGCGAGTCCTGCGGGGGTGAGTCCTGCGGGGGCGAGTCCTGCTGGGGCTAGTCCTGCTGGGGGCGAGTCCTGCTGGGGCTAGTCCTGCTGGGGGCGAGTCCTGCTGGGGCTAGTCCTGCTGGGGGCGAGTCCTGCGGGGGCTAGTCCTGCTGAGGGCGAGTCCTGCTGGGGCTAGTCCTGCTGGGGGCGAGTCCTGCTGGGGCTAGTCCTGCTGGGGCTAGTCCTGCTGGGGGCGAGTCCTGCTGGGGGCGAGTCCTGCTGGGGGCGAGTCCTGCTGGGGGCGAGTCCTGCTGGGGGCGAGTCCTGCGGGGGCTAGTCCTGCGGGGGCTAGTCCTGCTGGGGGCGAGTCCTGCTGGGGGCGAGGCCTGCGGGGGCTAGTCCTGCTGGGGGCGAGTCCTGCTGGGGGCGAGTCCTGCTGGGGGCGAGTCCTGCGAGTCCTGCTGGGGGCGAGTCCTGCGAGTCCTGCTGGGGGCGAGTCCTGCGGGGGCGAGTCCTGCTGGGGGCGAGTCCTGCGAGTCCTGCTGGGGGCGAGTCCTGCTGGGGGCGGGTCCTGCGAGTCCTGCTGGGGGCGAGTCCTGCGAGTCCTGCGAGTCCTGCTGGGGGCGAGTCCTGCGGGGGGCGAGTCCTGCGGGGGGCGAGTCCTGCGAGTCCTGCGAGGCCTGCTGGGGGCGAGTCCTGCGGGGGGCGAGTCCTGCGAGTCCTGCGAGTCCTGCGAGGCCTGCTGGGGCGAGGCCTTCCTCTAGGTTTCCTCCAGGTGCTCTGGACTACTCCTACCACTACCTCAAAAAAATAAAATGCTTCCCCAAAAATGTTAAGCACTTTATGACTCTCAGTCTATGGTAGACGCTTCATAAATACAGATTACTTACTGACTTTTATACACATTAAGATTGCATAAAAAATACATCTAATAAATATGAAAAAGCTTTATCCTGTTAAAGGTCAGTAAAGAAGGGATAAAAGATTAAATACTCCTTGACTGTCTCCTGCTGGAAAGGAATTGAGGTTTTTTTCTGTTTCCTCTATGTACAAAATTCAGAGAGAGTTCTAGAAGTATTTGTATAACTGTTTGGAAAGTCACAAAGCATGTGAGGAAGTTCAGATGATGCCATGGCACAAATGTAGATGTATTTCAAACATTTTGCTTTGCTGCGTTCATGTAATAAATGTAAATCACAGCATATTTCATTCTTGCATCAGAATGTCACGTTGTCTATTTGAACAATTATAACAAAGTGACAGAGGAAGGAGATGGAGATGAACCTCAGACAGAGATAGACGGCAGCAAACTGAATTTGGTATTTCATCTTTATCCAAAAACTCTCTGGCCTAAATCAGAAAAAGTTTAAACCACATTTTAGAAGGAAAACTCACAACAAATAACAACGATAATTAGAATTGGGGTTTTTTGTTGTTGCAAGAAATGTGGTCTGTTTATTACATGCTTCCAGATACATTGTAATTCCTGCCTTCTCTCTCCCCGCCTCTTATGCTTGTTCTTCTTGTCATTTCAATTTGTTCAACATTCCTTTTTCATCTGGGCTCTGAGCTCCCCACATTGTGGCTCAGAGTGCACCTGCGCCTCTGTAATGTAAATGTTTGAGGAAACAGCAGAGCTCTGTTTGGAGTGATCTGCACCTTCCACACTTGACAGAGCAAAAAACAAACTACTCTCTCCAAAAGAAATGGAAAATAAGAAGCATCTGGACCAGAGCCCGGTGTTGGATGAAGGTGCTTGTGTCTGCAGTGAAGTGGATCTGCGCTGTTGATGGACAGTGCTCCCTCCAGAACAACACAAATGAAGTGCCCACGCCACAAAGAAACATGGTGCATGGTTGGCACATTTTTGGTGATACTAAAAACAAACGTGTTCAAATGACAGATTAAAAGACTATTAGAATAATTAGAATACAAAAATATATAGATAGTCTTTGGTGGGTTCCTGCTTTTTGAATAAGAGGACCCTGTGATGTACTCTTCCCTCTCAAGTTCACGGTGAATCTTGATTACCGTTTATCAGAGATAACTGTGGTTCTTTCTTAAACAGCTAGTTAACTATTCTTTAAGTAAGTAAGTAAGTAATCTTTATTTATATACCGCCTTTTCACTGCAGATCTGAGTCTCAAAGCGGTTTACAATTGTTAATTTTGGGCATTTGTCTCTCACTCCACACAGAGATGGGAGGGGCCAGTACAGGAGGCACATGCCAGAACTATTGGACATATTTTTAGTGGTAGGGGAAACCGGAGTACCCGGAGGAAACCTACGCAGACACGGGGAGAACATGCAAACTCCACTCAGAAAGGCCCTGGTCCGACCGGGATTCGAACCCAGGACCTTCTTGCTGAGAGGCGAGAGTGCTATCCACTCAGCCACCGTGCCGCCCAAGCTGAATTAATCATTAGTTTTGCTTACCAGGATAAAACTCTCTTCTCAGACTCTTGTTTTCAGTGGTAGGGAAAACCAGGCAGGCATTAGGAGAACAAGCAAACTCCACAACTCCACAGGCCTCTTACATCCAGTAGTGAACAAGATGTATTTAAACGATTTCCCATGTTTTGATATTTAAATACTTAGTAAGTAAGATTGGACCAAGCTCATTCTTATTCCAACTTAAATATTTGATTGTTATTGATAGTTACAGTTAGGCAATTATTATTTACCATTATTTTTGTGGTACTCTGAATCGCAGCGACCACCCACTTGAAGGACTCTCTTAAAACAAAACGTGTCTGATAAACAGGAGCGAGCAGATTGACCAATGTTTACAGGAAGTGCCAACAAAAAGTGTTTGTAGAAAGATACTTTCAAATAAACTTTTTGGAGGCCTAAAACTGTCCACACCTGGACAGGACACAATGTAACCCAGTTTCACAGTGAACCCATCATGAAGCATCCTGCCTCTAGAAGACTACCAGCTCCCCAGACGCTTCCCTCTCTCTCCCATGCTTTTAGCTACTCTCAAAGCGCTGTGGAGTAATGAAAGCTCCATTTTGGCAGTACAAAGTTTAAACAAAGATATTTCTGTCTTTGATATCTTCGATGCAAGCTTTTGGATTTCATCTGCAAGTTCCACATTTTCATCGCAGTAATCCTAGCAACGGCAGGAGTCCCAACATGAATCAAAGTGTAATTTAAATTAGGTGGTCCTGTCCTTGATACCTCGTTCTTTGTGCTGTTGTTGATTTGGGAGAAGAGCAGATAGAAGTTCTCCTGCTGTGAGTGTCTCCAAGTGCAGTGGGATTAATTGGGGTGTGCTTTTCTTTCTTCTTATCTGCGTCCAACAGCTGTTCCACAAGCTAAAGAATCTGATGAGGCCTTATTCAGTGGAGTTCCAGTCCCCGCTGGAGCTGTGTGCGCAGGGTGAGGCTGAGCACATCACAGTCAAAGAAGTTATTTCATGGTTATATATGCACACTGGACATTATGCAAATAAGTACATTTGAAATGCAAATGGGTCAGTTCAACAGTTAAGCTAAAAACAATGGTATGGTGGATTTGTGGAGGGACAATACAGAGCAGAGCGTTTACCAAGACATAGGAGAGATACTGGTGTCAGGTTATAGCATTTACATAAAAAATCAAGGAACTGTTTCTGTTTCTTGTGTCTGCCCAAGCTAGTGGGTGGTGTCATGATAATGTCTGTCCGTTTTCTTCCGCTTCATCCGTTGCCGGGTCGCGGGGGCAGCAGTCTAAGCAGAGACGCCCAGACTTCCCTATCCACACACACTTCCTCCAGCTCGTCCGGGGGGACTCCAAGGCGTTCCCAGGCCAGCTGAGAGACATAGTCCCTCCAGCGTGTCCTAGGTCTTCCCCGGGGCCTCCTCCCGGTGGGACGTGCCCGGAACACCACCCCAGGGAGGCGTCCATGATAATGTCAATATGTTTAAAGCTAGAGTACCTCACCAGAAAGAATAACTTCATGAAATCCATCTGTCTAGTTCCTCCCTCTCAAACAGTTTGATTCTCTCACTAGTTTATAAATGCATGTATTTTTGGCCTCTGTTTTCTGATGGAGAAGTCAATTACAAGAGGACCACCTTCAGCCCAAAGCATCTAATAGCGACTCACAGGGCTCTTTCTTTCAAACATGTGAATTATAACTTGTTTTGTAAAAAGAAATGAACACAGCATGCCGTGGTCAGAATTAATCACAGCATTTTACTTTAACAAAACTTTCAATTGGGACTAAGGGCAAATCCATGATTATATATTAATGTATTCGTGTACCTATAGTCAAGGACCCTATAATAAACAACATAGACAGCAACTGTTTGCAGATGACAAAAGTAAAAAGAGAAATGTTTTCTTAAATGTTTCTGGTTTTGAACATGGATTGAGACAAGTATGTACATTATAAAGTTAAGATTAAAATCAATGTACTGAATCTCTCATTTCCAAATTCAGGCAAAGAAATGATCGAAATGTACTTTGACTTCCGTCTGTACCGGCTGTGGAAGACTCGGCAGCACTCAAAGCTCTTGGACTATGAGGATCTTTTGTGACGCAGCGGTGACGGGGCTTTGGGCCCAAGCGATTAAGCCACGAGCAAAACACCTGCTGAACCTGATCCATCCACCCACCTGCATTCATCGGAGACAAGCCAGACGAAGACAGACAATACCGAGGCTCTTTTTCAGGCTAAAATAAAGGGCAAATAAAATTGACTGGGAAATTGTGTTAAAATGTGTATAAAATCCCACGTTAATTGTTATTTTTGAGGCTTTCATGCTTCAAAGAGTATTGGCGCTTTCTTTAATGTGGTTCTGTGTTTTGACCGGACCTTATCATAATACGATATCTGTGAAATTCATATGTCAATGTGAGTGAATATCTAGCATAGCTTTAGTCATGCTAACGAGAATATTAAAGCGTCATTTATTTTTCTGTACATTGTTGTGCTGTTTCATAATGGGAATACTTTGAAATAACTCAGGTTTTAATCATGATGTAATTACTCTGTTTGTCTAATTATCTAGATATTGTAACCATCAGCATCGCTTTGAACGAATGTGAAAAAAAATCTACGTCTATTGTTGAGACGTCTTGGCAAAATGTGAAAAGTTGTTGTTGTGTGTGTGTGTGTGTGTGTGTGTTCTGCCGCCGCCATGTTCAATTACTAATGTTGTGTGCGTATTTGCCGCAAAATGAAAGTTCACTCGATTACATGAGTCAGTGTGATTCAAGTGGGATGAAACAGCCATCCAAAGGCACCTCACTGTCTTTCCCAGCTGCTTCGGCCCAACGCTCTGGTCCCCCCTTACAGCCTAACAAGCTTCCTCCACGCCTCTCTCTCCTCTGGGGCGGGTGTCCAAACTGGAGGAGACTGCAGAGTGCTTGAAACCATTAGGCCCTGGTTAACCAGCTGCTTACGGGCGAAGGAAAAATGCATTTGGTGTTTCTGGCTTTTATAGCAAGTGGACAAGTAGTATTAATGAGCCCCAAAGTGAGAAAAATAATAGTATCTTGTGTGCATACAGCTATACTTTTTATTCTACTTATTTTAGTCACTTTGTGGGTTCCATAAATGTAAAATGCCACCTCCCCATGTCTGGTCCTGACTTTGGGCAGCAGGGGGAGATAAGATTTTCCAGTTAACTTAAAGAGTTGACCAAATGCTACTGTTCTTCAAACTATTGGTATTTCGAGTGTTGGCAAAGACGGTTGAAATGTAATTTAATTAAAGGACAAAAACTGTATTTACTACCTTACATTTTTATAAAATTTTGCAGTGTACTATGGATAAATTTGGTGTCATTTTGAAGTTGCACAAACAAACTGAAAGGGAACATACTGTGTGTAGAATGCTCTCTTGCTGTCATGAAGAGGGGCAATTACAACTGACTACAATTATTATAGAGTCTTCAGTTGAGTAAAAAAGAAACTTACTGCTTACTTGTAACAAGCGTGAAATACCAAATACTGTGTTTCTTCAGATGCACATTCCTGCCAAAACATAAGTGGAGGGCCATTAATTAAGAGGAAAAAATCCAAGACTTTTTATGAAAGCATTTGATTATAAAAGTACTGAAAAGAAAATCCGTCAAAGCAATTCAATAACATTTGATTCTTGGTAACAACAATTAAATAAATGTTTCCACCACTATCCAAATCTCTCCAATTGTCCCTCACAGTCAAAAAGCATCAGATTAAACAACCCAGTGCCCAAAGTATTGGGATAAAAATTTATCTGAGAGATTATGGTCATATATAAGCCACAGTTCTGATGTTATATTTTTAGACAGAAGATATTGCAGTCTATGATAACTGTCAGTTTCTCAGTATTTTGATAATAAAGTGTTTATTTCTTTGTCTATTAACTTCTATAACCTAGTATAACTAATTAAAAGCTACTGGTAATCATTTCATCAGACTGGTTACTGCAGGGAGGCCAGGGGGAGGCCAGGGGGAGGCCAGGGGGAGGCCCGGGGGAGGCCAGGGGGAGGCCAGGGGGAGGCCAGGGGGAGGCCAGGGGGAGGCCCGGGGGAGGCCAGGGGGAGGCTTGTTGCCGTTAAAGCCATGGAAACACAAAAGCCCATTCAAAAGCAGGCTCCATCTCTCATTCAGCAAAACCAGTGGGCAACCCCTGCTTCATGTCCTGGAACAACACTTGCCTACACTTTAAAGATTATGCAGAAAGTTTACCCCGCACACCACACTTACTTTTTACATTTTGTACGGTTCCTTCAGTGTTAGGTCTATGTGTGCAAAGTGTTTTTACCTGTAAACCTGCTTCCTACATGTTTTGGATTTCTCTTTTGACATTATGTGCCGCCTCTGTGTGGTGTTAGTCAATGGGGGTCACTGTTAAAAGCTCTCCGTGGTTTGACTGGCGGAAACGTGCTTTTAAAAGCTTTGGGTCGCTTTGTCACTGCGTGCAATTTATTTTCCAAAAGCAGGATTTCTATGGTTACACAACTTACACTATGTTGAGCCCTATAATTCCAACAGAAGTATTAACCGCCACAATCCTGCCCCGGAGAGCTGCTGCGTTTAACCGACATGAAAAATCTCAAAAGCGTTTTTTCGTTTGGACGTGGCACAGGTTCAAGCCGTGGGGAAGTCCTGTGTGTCCATGTGTCGTCAGTGTTGTGATCTTGCGGACCAAACAGTGACTCAGGAGTTTGAGAGAGCTTTTGTGTTTGGTTTTTCTTCAGGAATAAACAGAAGAGTTCACAGGAAATCTAATTAAAGATGCAAATGTATCATAACTTTGATTCTGTGTCACATTTTTTAACTGGCACTTCAGCAGAAGGCATTGAAGTTAGACAGACATCTAGTCTTGGTCCCATTATGCTTTAAACATCAGTGAAGTGCTGTTTGGCCTTCATACACATGCTCAATGATTCGCTCAAGCTTTAGTTAAAGAGCGATCTTTCTCTTTCTTTCTCAATAGCCAGAAAAACGCCTAAGTTCAATTGGTGACGTGGCCCCAAGCAGTAGAAGCTCTCTCCTGGAGGTGATTGACAGGAGGAGAACTCAAAACACAATCGTGGCTGAACATGCGCCCACAGCCTCTCTCTGCGACTACAACGGCACATCAGAGAAAGAAACAGATTCACCCATTTTAATCGGGGTTACATCACCTCTATACAAGAATTGTTATAATGTGAGTGTTGTGTATCGCCCAAATTATCGTCACACTATGGATTGACTGTGAAATATAGGACCTTTAAGCACAGGTATCTAACTTTCATACTACGTTTATTTAAATATATTATAAAATCTATGTACTTTATGAGGTTCCTTGCTCTGAAAATCAGTTTTCACATACATGTATTTTTGGAGTCTGTAAGATCAGCGTTCTCAGACAGAAAACACAAAAACAAGCACCATCCTCACCCGGCCAATCGCCTTCCAGCCCTTAGCATCAAATAGTGACTCACATGGCTCTTTCTTGCAAGTTTGCAAATGATTCAATGTTTTATTTTTAGTTTTTTTTTTTAACAAGAGGAAGGCAGCATGTTCAGGTCTGAAATGTTTGTAACTCTTTTTGTGCATGACTCTTAATGTTCTGACAAAGTGTAGCCTCTAATGTATAAAGCAAATACAATTTGTGTGCCCCAGCTTTAAAAATGACAACCTGTAGTTAGGCAGCTACTATCTCCACCTCATTTCATGTATGCCCCAAAAGGTCTTAGAAATACACATAGTAAAAAAAACCAATGAAAAACTGACTGACATAATACTCACTAAAGATGGTTTTAGAACTTTGTGCAAAATTACATTAAGTATTGTTTTATTGCTGCTACAGACATATTGACTGTATCTCTCTGACCCAGACACAGTTTCTGAGGTTCTCTTGTGTCACGGATGTTTGAGTCACGTGAATGCAACACATTATTTAATCCATTCAAGTTTATTTCTTTGGCAAAACTCCCACCAACAAAAGGGAGTAATATTGTTTTGCTCAGGCTCAATTAAGGACAGTATTTGCAGCTTGGGCGGCTTGGTGCTGGGCGGCTTGGTGCTGGGCGGCTTGGTGCTGGGCGGCTTGGTGCTGGGCGGCTTGGTGCTGGGCGGCTTGGTGCTGGGCGGCTTGGTGCGGAGCGGCTTGGTGCGGGGCGGCTTGGTGCGGAGCGGCTTGGTGCGGAGCGGCTTGGTGCGGAGCGGCTTGGTGCTGGGCGGCTTGATGCTGGGCGGCTTGGTGCGGGGCGGCTTGATGCTGGGCGGCTTGGTGCTGGGCGGCTTGGTGCGGGGCGGCTTGATGCGGGGCGGCTTGGTGCGGGGCGGCTTGGTGCTGGGCGGCTTGATGCGGGGCGGCTTGGTGCGGGGCGGCTTGGTGCTGGGCGGCTTGATGCGGGGCGGCTTGGTGCGGGGGCGGCTTGGTGCTGGGCGGCTTGATGCTGGGCGGCTTGGTGCTGGGCGGCTTGGTGCTGGGCGGCTTGGTGCGGGGCGGCTTGATGCGGGGCGGCTTGGTGCGGGGCGGCTTGGTGCTGGGCGGCTTGGTGCGGAGCGGCTTGGTGCTGGGCGGCTTGATGCTGGGCGGCTTGATGCGGGGCGGCTTGGTGCGGGGCGGCTTGGTGCGGGGCGGCTTGGTGCTGGGCGGCTTGATGCTGGGGCGGCTTGGTGCTGGGCGGCTTGGTGCTGGGCGGCTTGGTGCGGGGCGGCTTGATGCGGGGCGGCTTGGTGCGGGGCGGCTTGGTGCTGGGCGGCTTGGTGCGGAGCGGCTTGGTGCTGGGCGGCTTGATGCTGGGCGGCTTGGTGCTGGGCGGCTTGGTGCGGGGCGGCTTGATGCGGGGCGGCTTGGTGCGGGGCGGCTTGGTGCTGGGGCGGCTTGATGCGGGGCGGCTTGGTGCTGGGCGGCTTGGTGCTGGGCGGCTTGATGCGGGGCGGCTTGGTGCTGGGCGGCTTGATGCTGGGCGGCTTGGTGCTGGGCGGCTTGGTGCTGGGCGGATTGGTGCGGGGCGGCTTGGTGCGGGGCGGCTTGGTGCTGGGCGGCTTGGTGCTGGGCGGCTTGGTGCGGGGCGGCTTGATGCGGGGCGGCTTGGTGCGGGGCGGCTTGGTGCTGGGCGGCTTGGTGCGGGGCGGCTTGGTGCTGGGCGGCTTGATGCGGGGCGGCTTGGTGCTGGGCGGCTTGATGCGGGGCGGCTTGGTGCTGGGCGGCTTGGTGCTGGGCGGCTTGGTGCTGGGCGGCTTGGTGCGGGGCGGCTTGGTGCTGGGCGGCTTGATGCGGGGCGGCTTGGTGCTGGGCGGCTTGGTGCTGGGCGGCTTGGTGCGGGGCGGCTTGGTGCGGGGCGGCTTGGTGCTGGGCGGCTTGGTGCTGGGCGGCTTGGTGCTGGGCGGCTTGGTGCGGGGCGGCTTGGTGCGGGGCGGCTTGGTGCTGGGCGGCTTGGTGCTGGGCGGCTTGGTGCGGGGCGGCTTGGTGCTGGGCGGCTTGGTGCGGGGCGGCTTGGTGCTGGGCGGCTTGGTGCGGGGCGGCTTGGTGCTGGGCGGCTTGGTGCTGGGCGGATTGGTGCGGGGCGGCTTGGTGCGGGGCGGCTTGGTGCTGGGCGGCTTGGTGCGGGGCGGCTTGGTGCTGGGCGGCTTGGTGCTGGGCGGATTGGTGCGGGGCGGCTTGGTGCGGGGCGGCTTGGTGCGGGGCGGCTTGGTGCGGGGCGGCTTGGTGCGGGGCGGCTTGGTGCTGGGCGGCTTGGTGCGGGGCGGCTTGGTGCGGGGCGGCTTGGTGCTGGGCGGCTTGGTGCTGGGCGGCTTGGTGCTGGGCGGCTTGGTGCGGGGCGGCTTGGTGCGGGGCGGCTTGGTGCTGGGCGGCTTGGTGCTGGGCGGCTTGGTGCGGGGCGGCTTGGTGCTGGGCGGCTTGGTGCTGGGCGGCTTGGTGCGGGGCGGCTTGGTGCTGGGCGGCTTGGTGCGGGGCGGCTTGGTGCTGGGCGGCTTGGTGCTGGGCGGATTGGTGCGGGGCGGCTTGGTGCGGGGCGGCTTGGTGCTGGGCGGCTTGGTGCGGGGCGGCTTGGTGCTGGGCGGCTTGGTGCTGGGCGGATTGGTGCGGGGCGGCTTGGTGCGGGGCGGCTTGGTGCGGGGCGGCTTGGTGCGGGGCGGCTTGGTGCGGGGCGGCTTGGTGCTGGGCGGCTTGGTGCGGGGCGGCTTGGTGCTGGGCGGCTTGGTGCTGGGCGGCTTGGTGCGGGGCGGCTTGGTGCTGGGCGGCTTGGTGCTGGGCGGCTTGGTGCTGGGCGGCTTGGTGCTGGGCGGCTTGGTGCGGGGCGGCTTGGTGCGGGGTGGTTACGCAGTGCGGGGGGGGGACGCGCGGTGCGGGGGGTGCGTGGTGCGGCGAGGGCCGTTTGACGCCGCTTGCGGCTTTAATTATTATTGTTTTGTCTTTCATTTAAAGTATATCTGAGTCTGGTGAGTGTTATCACGCAGATAAGAAGGTGGGGTTTTTGACGTCTAAAGTTGCCTTTGGAGCGTGACCCTGAAAACGCTTAGTGCTCACCTGTGCATTTCTGCTGCAGCTGTCCTTACGGCAATGTCCATCGTGTAAACCATAGTCTGGGACAGAAATAACACACACACACACACAAAATAATTCTGCTCCCTAGATTGAAAGTGCTCATCTTAGAGTTGTGGATCCGTACTGTGAAGATCTCCAAAGAGACTACTGGTGGTGAGATAGTGGGTGAGGGGGGGCTTCCATCGGATAGCACCTAGGAGAACCTTTTTTTGCATTATATCCAAGAAAAACAGAAGTTTATTGGTTTATAATGGTGGAACCTAACTGAACACTTTGGTTCTGTCTGTGTAAAGACGGCCCAGACTGGTGAGGTCCAGATTTGAAGACCATTCTCCCCCAAGCACTGAACCTTGGGGGACGGAGGATTTGCCATCTCTGCTCTCACTCTCTGGAACTCTCTCCACCCTCACCTCAGACACTCACAAAACTCCTTCAAAAAAAAAAAACAGATAAAAACTCACCTTTTCCTTCAAGCATACAACTCTTAGTTTCAGCATTGCACTCTTCATTCCTGCTTTCAGATTTTTAGTTGTGTCTGTCTGATTCTGTGTGTCCTGAACTGTGAAGCGTCTTCAAAAGCGCTGTATAAAACCGATATATTATTATTATGGAAGTCATAACACATTGTCACTGGACTTTATTTTGACCTTCAATAGTCTCTTGAAAACACATGTGGATTCTGCTGCTCTCAAAAATCTCCGGACTGAAATGTATAAACAAATATGTAGTAAGAGCTCCTCATTAAAGCTGCTGTTGGCATGTCTTTAATAACAACATTCATGGCATTATTGTTTTGATGATCTGCCCACCTCTCATGGACCGTATCTCTGTTTTTCTGCCCGAGCCAACACTTCCCTGCATCATTTAGCCGCTGTTTTTTTTGCCTCAGGGTCTGTTTGTGAATGGGGCCTCCAGCAGGTAAACAATTAATGTGGAGTGAACCCTGCGATTGTGGCTCCGTCAGCACTTACACACAGCTGAAGCCACGCTCTGGGGTCCCTAGTGTAGTGCTGTTTAAGTACCTGAGCCTGTGAATTGCAACAAAACACAGCAAAAACAACATATGTAGCTGTTGGATCAATGTGAGAGAAAAGAGAAAATGTATGTACATATTTTACGCTGTGTCGACACAGCAGGTGTACCTACACGCTATGGTGCGGTATATACAGACATTTAAATGCTAATTCATAGGACTTTCTTTTTTATAATCTGGGCTACCTAGGTCTTTGGTTGATGGAATCCTGGTTGACTTTTACATTATGTATGAGTTGACTAATGATTATAAACACATTTGTGGGGGAGAAAAAGCACAAACAAAAAGCCATGAAGATAAAGAGATGAAGATTGCTGCGTGGCGCCGTGGCAGGAGCTCTGGTGTGTTCTCTCCTCGTCCACACTGGGGTAGACAGTTTTTCCAGTGTGGTTTTACTGCAAAAGGTAAATACATTCTTGGAAGATGTTATATTTATTTTGTTTTATGATGCAGATAAACTTGTTTAACAGCGCCATTGTTTTCTAGTGCTTCAGTTGTTTTGGATGAAGCTGAAATATATGGAGAGGTCAGATATAATTATTCTATTGTTTTGACATGTTAGCACAGGCTGACATGTCAAAACAAGTCGGCATTTAACCCGTCAAGCGTTCTAGTCCTTTTGCTGTGGAACACCAAATAAAAGCAATGATCTAGACAGCAATAAACCAAAAACATGGGTATGCAGTATGAATTTCCAATTCTTTCCCTTTCCTGTTGACCCGGCACTGGGAGGGACACAGGATTTAAGTATCTTGTCCAAAGAAACAACAAAATGTATATCTCTGAAATGGGAAATAAAAGAAGGTAATCTACATGGAATCAAATCAGCAATTCTACTGAGCAAAGCCATGGGAGAAGTTCAGTCTAATCTGGAGAAGTCAAACAAGAAAACTGTTTATTCTGTCAAAGCATCGACCACACTTTTGATCAAATAATCAAAATAAATCCAGTAATACATGAGTTCACTAAATCGTGCAAAATGGGCCCTAATCTGAAATCCACACAGGCCGTCATTCTCCAGACAGCTCTGCAGAATAAGCAATCATTCCTAATAACAGACAGTATCTTGGCATTCTTATGATACTCTAAGTGTACTACATTACACCCAAATATAAATGTAAAATAGTATACACTCAAGTATAAATTGGTATATACCAAATATAGTATTTTTGTTAACAAAAGACACCAACTACTGACACATCCACAGAAATTGTGACAAGTGAAGAAAAGACCCACAGCAGGACATCAGAGAAAGTTAAGGATGGGTCAAAATGAATTTCTGAATTTCTCCAACGGGGATCGATAAAGTATCTTTCTACATGAATTATTGATTATTCTGAATAACATTGTGTTTGCGATGCACATTTGCACGTGTCAATTGAACAGTATTTTTCTTTATTTGGTAAAATTGTCAAAAAGCAGAGATGCCAATAAACATTAGAAGAAGCAAAAATAATAATTTTCCCAGACAAAATGGCAACTTTTCTTGTTCCATAGACAAATATTATTTTAGTCAAATCATTCTAAAAGAAAGACATAATTACTTTACTATTTTCTGTTATTTGCTATTTCTGCCATTATTAATGATTCTTTTGTGGTCACTGAATGACTTGGCAGCTTGGACACTATATTACAAAAGCTTTGTAAAAAAGATGTTACAGAAATGATACATAAGTATAAACTCAAAGGAAATACAAGGTGGACACACACAGAGAATGTTATTTTCATTATAATAGAGCGACCCCTTGTGGCCATTTCTGAAATTGTACAGAACACACTGCACCGTTCATTGCGACATGACTGAAAGGCAGTGTTTTAATTGTATACAGTTGTTTCCTAAAGAAGAGAGGTAATCGGTGTCAATGAAAACCATCCATGCTGGTTATACAGTGTGTGCTTATTCTGGCATGCACATGGTGGAATATGGAGGCCCCCATTAATATTCAGTATGTAAATAAGAAATAATCATACTTTTACACTTATTGTATATATATAATCTTGTAAAAGTCTTAAAATCAAATCTTTGTACATTCTTGTTTTCAAAAGCGTTAATAAGAAATAATAATTAAAAAAACATAGTAATAAAACAAGATATTTACTACAACTTTGTGCCTTGGGAGCCAGGACAATGAAAACAAAACAAAAATCAAAATGGAGATTTTCTTGCTCTACAGTCTCTGGTATGGGAAGTCAGTGATTCATTGTCTGAAGAAACAGAAAAAAAAACTGAGCTTCATCAAAAGATTATTTGGTTACAGAAATTACAATAACGTCCCTCTTTGGGGAACTTGACAATCGTACAGAATGTGTACTTGCAGTAGATAAATATGTGTCGTATGCATAGTACTAGTGTCAAACAACTGCAGCATTTCACTTCATTCTCTACCAACTAGTAACGAATGAAATTAAATACACAATTGTTTATTCTAAAAGCTTTACTGAGCTAAAGTACAAGTGGAAGAATTATAGTGTAGAATAGAAATAATGTTATAATTTAATAATAAAAGGAAAATCAAGGAAAATTGAATTAACACAAACATTGAAACAAAAATAAACAAAATGTGACAAATATTTTCAGACTGGTTTCTCATTTGCAAACAAAAGTGACATTGGTTCACAAGACTTTGCGGATGTGTCATGCATAGATCTGTACAGAGTCTGCAGCTGCCTTTGCTTCTCTGCAGAAAATCATTCAAAGTTTCCCTCAATTGTGTCGATTACAGAAGTATTCACAAGTCAAGCTTTTGTGTGACTGAGTTTGTACCTAGACTGCCTAAATAAAATAAGACCCTTCACACGAGGATAGTTTCTCCCTAATGGGAGACGACTTATATAAATAAATATATATATATATAACTAATATGTATATATAGTACAGACCAAAAGTTTGGACACCCCTTCTCATTCAGTTTTTTATTTTCATGATTATGAAAATTGTAGATTCACACTGAAGGCATCAAAACTATGAATTCACTCATGTGGAATTTAGTACATACTAAAAAAAAAGTATGAAACAACTGAAAATATGTGTTATATTCTAGGTTCTTCAAAGTAGCACCTTTTGCTCTTGGCATTCTCTGAATGAGCTTCAAGAGGACCTGAAATGGTCTGAGTTCCCACAGATGCTTAGCACTTGTTGGCCCTTTTGCCTTCTTTTAGCCCCAAAACCATCTGGATTGGGTTCAGGTCCGGTGACTGTGGAGGTCATCTGGCCCAGAACCCACCACTATTGGACCAACAGCCCTTACACAGCCTGGTGAGGATCTACAGTCAACAGTCATGAAAAGAAAGGAAGCTCATTGAATGAGAAAGTGTGTCCAAACTTTTGGTCTGTACTGTAATATATAAATATATATATATATATATATATATATATATATGTTATGCTTTTGTCACATCTTTAGATCAGATTTCAGACAGAAAAGAGAGAACCACAAACAATGACTTACAGGCTCTTTCCAAGTATGCAAGAAAGGTTTTCTAATGAGATAAAGGCAGCATTCTGTGGTCCCCTTTTTCCTTTACGTTTACTATACTGTTTCTATTGAGACAAAAAATATATATTTTATAATAAAGAAAAAGTTAGGTTAAGTATAATAGTGTAGCAACTAGATTCATAAAATGTTAGTAGTAAGATGTTCATTAAAAGTAGCTTAAAGAGTGCATTTTGGAAAGTAAACACATGCATTCCTCAGTAAACATTTTCCTTTCTGCTTTTTTTTGGAAAACACTGAACAAATCGCCCAGTCAGGCTCTGCCACGCTGTCTTGGCAGTAACACAATCGTTTTAACGGCCCGGCTCCAGTCTAGAGTCAGTGTTGCTCATACCGGGCCCTGGATCCCTGAACATGTCAAGTAATGCCAAAAAACAACACACAGAGCTAGACTACAACGTGGGAACTGTACAGAAGAAGCCTGAGACAAAGCATGCTAGAACTAGAGGTGCATGCAGGGTAGGAAGAAGTGAGTGGGCTGACACAAGAGAAAGTCCCTCAATCCACACAAACACATTGAAGTGTGTATACACAGTTCGACTTGGGCACATTTCTGTCCGCCTCGTGTCCACCTCTTGTGTGGGGTGGGCCGTTGGTGTCAAACTGTGACTAAAGGGGTGGGTGCTGTGTGGTTACAGGCTGAGTGCAGCAGTGTGCGGCATCAGGAAAGAACTTCATCCTCTCCCACGAAGGGCAGCTCCAGACTCTTCATGCCGTCGCCGCTTTCTTGTTTCCTTAGTAACACATAAGAGGAGGACACAGATAACAATGCTGTCATCAACTTATTGAACACTTACTTTAGGCTGCCATATATATTTCGCAAAGCAGGAACTTCAAAGTTCTGTCCAGACTATAGAGAAGTTAATTGCTTGGGCAAAATAAAGCCATGCCACGGAGTCATTTTGGACACTCCTCAAAAAGAAGAAGCGAGCTCGTCTTGGCAGAAGTTTCATGAACTAGATCATTGCGCACTCTAAAGCTGAGGTACCAACGTTTTTCCCCTCATTATGTAAAGTATTCTTTTCCAGACAGGGACACTATTGATAAACACATAAAATAGTTTATTATTATTATACGGTATTTTAACTATTTAATGATGGCAGGTCAAATTAGTTTTAATATGATGAAAAAAAGGTGACTATTCTTATTTTACATTTTACTTTTAAACCCAAATATACATTTTAGAATAACTAGTTAGATGCAGATGGCGACAGGAGAAAAAGCAGGTTAGAAGCGGTTAACCTGCTTGAAATATCTCAAATCAATAAATTGTCGATTATTGAACAAAAACATAATTTCATGCTTTAGTTTAATTAAAGGCACTATAAACAATATGCCCTCTTAGTGGTTATTACAATCACTCATGTCCAGAGTATTTTTAATTAAGAATAACTCCACATCAAATATTGTTGGGAAAAGGGCAAATATGATTAGTTTCATGTTGACCTTTTCTTTGAGGACAAAAACAAGATTTAGATGTAATTTAAAATTAAAATATGACATACTGACCCTGATTATCTTTGAGTGAAAAAATTGGGTACCTCAACTTTAAGAGTACAAATACATGAACTATCAACAGATCGTTTGGCCAAGAATGATCAACAGTTATGTACTGAGAGGTTTGTCTGAAGCACGTGAAGCCCACGTAAATTTGTTGATAGTCATTTGTTCTATTCGCCCTCAAACACGTCGGTTTACCTTCTTCTGTTACACTGAATATAGCAGTATCTCATTCGGCTTGTTTTGCCTTTACTGTTGGGCAGGAGGAGATAAATTACAAATACATTTAACATCGAGTCTGTTAACAACTATTTAGCTTTAGATATGACCTCTGTTTAAACACCTACGTTAGCATCTGTCCCGGAGCACACAGACCGCTGCGATCTTCTTTACGACTCCAATCAAAGGGATTCCCAAAGGATCGCTTGCGAAGCATGGTTCTCACAAGAATCTACAAAACAAAAAAGTTCTAGTCATTACATACACATACAGTATGAAGATAATAAGGGCTTTAACAAGTGGATCAATGAAATGCAATACGGATACTAACATTAGCAACTGTTCCCTACAACCACCAAGTATTCAGTTGTATAACTTTAACAAAGCTGTTATAATTCTTAATGAAATGTCCAAAGTATGTATTTTTAATAAACAACTATTAATGCTATAACCCAGCTCTGAACATGTTTTTGGATGCTTTAGCCCAACAATCAATGATCAAAACTGTTAATGACATCCCTGCTGATGTTATTAGTATCAATCTTTATTTTCCACTGCAGTTTCTTCTCTAATTAAATACCAAATAGCAAGTAATTGTACACGAAATACAATTGTTTTAAGCACAATCGTATGAGTCAGTCGTGGGAAAAGGACTGTAGACTGACCACAGTGGCCAGGCTCGGGATGTGCTTCACGGAGTTCTCCACCTCCTCCTCCGTCACCTCGATCAGCATACTGCAGTTATCGTCCTCAGGGGGAAGAGGCTCTGCGCCGTGCCGTGTCACCCAAGGGTGCAGCTGAAACAACATTTAAATGTACAAATATAATCAGCCGTATTAATGTAATTCTGAATAACAGAAAATACAATGTTTTGGGTTTGAAATGTGACATGACAGAATTTTAATTGAACTGAAAACCTTAATTTGTGGAACCGTTATCCTTGTCTCTGGATTCTTGTCCAACATTTTCAAAAGCAGATCTTTCAAGTCATCAGAAATGTCAGCACTGGAAGAGGGATAAGAACAAAATATGAAATGTGATGATACTGTGTAAAAACTAAACTAACAAAAATACTGACTTTTCTGGAAGTTCAATTGGTTGTGTCTTTATTTTTTGATGAAGACTGAGGATGCGCTGATCCATAAATGGACACTGTTGATTCATTTAGGAAAAAAATGCATCATGCCTCATCCAAACGTACAACAGTTAATGAATGCCACAGATAATTACCACTCCAAAGACAAAGCAGTGAAGTGTTACTCCCATCGCCCACACGTCCAACGCCTGGGGCACAAGAGGACATGATAAACCACATAAAACCAGAACACCAGAGGGAGCTGTATCATGATTCAGAATCTCTTTATCCTTTACCTTCCCTGAGAAATTCTTTATAGTCTCAGAAAGTGCCTCAGGAGCAAGAAAAGCTGGCGTTCCCACTGTACTGGTCAGGAGTGCGTCAGCCCCTTCAAACTGGTTACTGACGCCAAAGTCCGCAATCTTAATATGTCCGTCTTCTCCAACCAAAAGATTTGAGGGCTTGACGTCTCGGTGGATAATCCTTTGATAGTGCACTACATTCACAAACAAAAGGCATCTGTTATTTTGGAATGTACTGTATTGTTGAGCCATTGCTTTAAAATAGTGAAAAAACAGAGGTGGCATTGTCACTTCAGCTTTGCGTACATTATATTGAGTCAATTTGAAATCTGTCTGGACTTTGTTGGTCTCCTTGGAGCCTTAGTTTCCGGTTCTCACTTGACTTCACTTAAGACGACACTGTGTGCAAGAAATCTTTCTGTGTGCTGAAATGCCACGTAATGCAAAATGAGGCTTGTGGGTGTAAAAGATTCAGGGGCAGAAGACACTTGTGTAAAAGAGTCAGGGGCAGAAGACACTTGTGTAAAAGAGTCAGGGGCAGAAGACACTTAAAGAGTCAGGGGCAGAAGACACTTGTGTAAAAGAGTCAGGGGCAGAAGACACTTGTTTAAAAGAGTCAGGGGCAGAAGACACTTGTTTAAAAGAGTCAGGGGCAGAAGACACTTGTGTAAAAGAGTCAGGGGCAGAAGACACTTGTTTAAAAGAGTCAGGGGCAGAAGACACTTGTGTAAAAGAGTCAGGGGCAGAAGACACTTGTGTAAAAGAGTCAGGGGCAGAAGACACTTGTGTAAAAGAGTCAGGGGCAGAAGACACTTGTGTAAAAGAGTCAGGGGCAGAAGACACTTGTTTAAAAGAGTCAGGGGCAGAAGACACTTGTGTAAAAGAGTCAAGGGCAGAAGACACTTGTGTAAAAGAGTCAAGGGCAGAAGACACTTGTGTAAAAGAGTCAGGGGCAGAAGACACTTGTGTAAAAGAGTCAAGGGCAGAAGACACTTGTGTAAAAGAGTCAGGGGCAGAAGACACTTGTGTAAAAGAGTCAGGGGCAGAAGACACTTAAAGAGTCAGGGGCAGAAGACACTTGTGTAAAAGAGTCAGGGGCAGAAGACACTTGTGTAAAAGAGTCAGGGGCAGAAGACACTTGTGTAAAAGAGTCAGGGGCAGAAGACACTTGTGTAAAAGAGTCAGGGGCAGAAGACATCTGTGTAAAAGAGTCAGGGGCAGAAGACACTTGTGTAAAAGAGACAGGGGCAGAAGACACTTGTGTAAAACAGTCAGGGGCAGAAGACACTTAAAGAGTCAAGGGCAGAAGACACTTGTATAAAAGAGTCAGGGGCAGAAGACACTTAAAGAGTCAAGGGCAGAAGACACTTGTGTAAAAGAGTCAGGGGCAGAAGACACTTGTGTAAAAGAGTCAGGGGCAGAAGACACTTGTGTAAAAGAGTCAGGGGCAGAAGACACTTGTGTAAAAGAGTCAAGGGCAGAAGACACTTGTGTAAAAGAGTCAGGGGCAGAAGACACTTAAAGAGTCAAGGGCAGAAGACACTTGTGTAAAAGAGTCAGGGGCAGAAGACACTTGTGTAAAAGAGTCAGGGGCAGAAGACACTTGTGTAAAAGAGTCAGGGGCAGAAGACACTTGTGTAAAAGAGTCAGGGGCAGAAGACACTTGTGTAAAAGAGTCAGGGGCAGAAGACACCTGCGTAAAAGAGTCAGGGGCAGAAGACACTCAGAGTCAGGGGCAGAAGACACTTGTGTAAAAGAGTCAGGGGCAGAAGACACTTGTGTAAAAGAGTCAGGGGCAGAAGACACTTGTGTAAAAGAGTCAGGGGCAGAAGACACTTGTGTAAAAGAGTCAGGGGCAGAAGACACTTGTGTAAAAGAGTCAGGGGCAGAAGACACTTGTGTAAAAGAGTCAGGGGCAGAAGACACTTGTGTAAAAGAGTCAGGGGCAGAAGACACTCAGAGTCAGGGGCAGAAGACACTTGTGTAAAAGAGTCAGGGGCAGAAGACACTTGTGTAAAAGAGTCAGGGGCAGAAGACACTTGTGTAAAAGAGTCAGGGGCAGAAGACACTTGTGTAAAACAGTCAGGGGCAGAAGACACTTAAAGAGTCAGGGCAGAAGACGCTTGTGTAAAAGAGTCAGGGGCAGAAGACACTTGTGTAAAAGAGTCAGGGGCAGAAGACACTTAAAGAGTCAAGGGCAGAAGACACTTGTGTAAAAGAGTCAGGGGCAGAAGACACTTGTGTAAAAGAGTCAGGGGCAGAAGACACTTGTGTAAAAGAGTCAGGGGCAGAAGACACTTGTGTAAAAGAGTCAGGGGCAGAAGACACTTGTGTAAAAGAGTCAAGGGCAGAAGACACTTGTGTAAAAGAGTCAGGGGCAGAAGACACTTGTGTAAAAGAGTCAGGGGCAGAAGACACTTGTGTAAAAGAGTCAAGGGCAGAAGACACTTGTGTAAAAGAGTCAAGGGCAGAAGACACTTGTGTAAAAGAGTCAAGGGCAGAAGACACTTGTGTAAAAGAGTCAGGGGCAGAAGACACTTGTGTAAAAGAGTCAGGGGCAGAAGACACTTGTGTAAAAGAGTCAAGGGCAGAAGACACTTGTGTAAAAGAGTCAAGGGCAGAAGACACTTGTGTAAAAGAGTCAGGGGCAGAAGACACTTGTGTAAAAGAGTCAAGGGCAGAAGACACTTGTGTAAAAGAGTCAGGGGCAGAAGACACTTGTGTAAAAGAGTCAGGGGCAGAAGACACTTAAAGAGTCAGGGGCAGAAGACACTTGTGTAAAAGAGTCAGGGGCAGAAGACACTTGTGTAAAAGAGTCAGGGGCAGAAGACACTTGTGTAAAAGAGTCAGGGGCAGAAGACACTTGTGTAAAAGAGTCAGGGGCAGAAGACATCTGTGTAAAAGAGTCAGGGGCAGAAGACACTTGTGTAAAAGAGACAGGGGCAGAAGACACTTGTGTAAAACAGTCAGGGGCAGAAGACACTTAAAGAGTCAAGGGCAGAAGACACTTGTGTAAAAGAGTCAGGGGCAGAAGACACTTAAAGAGTCAAGGGCAGAAGACACTTGTGTAAAAGAGTCAGGGGCAGAAGACACTTGTGTAAAAGAGTCAGGGGCAGAAGACACTTGTGTAAAAGAGTCAGGGGCAGAAGACACTTGTGTAAAAGAGTCAAGGGCAGAAGACACTTGTGTAAAAGAGTCAGGGGCAGAAGACACTTAAAGAGTCAAGGGCAGAAGACACTTGTGTAAAAGAGTCAGGGGCAGAAGACACTTGTGTAAAAGAGTCAGGGGCAGAAGACACTTGTGTAAAAGAGTCAGGGGCAGAAGACACTTGTGTAAAAGAGTCAGGGGCAGAAGACACTTGTGTAAAAGAGTCAGGGGCAGAAGACACCTGCGTAAAAGAGTCAGGGGCAGAAGACACTCAGAGTCAGGGGCAGAAGACACTTGTGTAAAAGAGTCAGGGGCAGAAGACACTTGTGTAAAAGAGTCAGGGGCAGAAGACACTTGTGTAAAAGAGTCAGGGGCAGAAGACACTTGTGTAAAAGAGTCAGGGGCAGAAGACACTTGTGTAAAAGAGTCAGGGGCAGAAGACACTTGTGTAAAAGAGTCAGGGGCAGAAGACACTTGTGTAAAAGAGTCAGGGGCAGAAGACACTTGTGTAAAAGAGTCAGGGGCAGAAGACACTCAGAGTCAGGGGCAGAAGACACTTGTGTAAAAGAGTCAGGGGCAGAAGACACTTGTGTAAAAGAGTCAGGGGCAGAAGACACTTGTGTAAAAGAGTCAGGGGCAGAAGACACTTGTGTAAAACAGTCAGGGGCAGAAGACACTTAAAGAGTCAGGGGCAGAAGACACTTGTGTAAAAGAGTCAGGGGCAGAAGACACTTGTGTAAAAGAGTCAGGGGCAGAAGACACTTAAAGAGTCAAGGGCAGAAGACACTTGTGTAAAAGAGTCAGGGGCAGAAGACACTTGTGTAAAAGAGTCAGGGGCAGAAGACACTTGTGTAAAAGAGTCAGGGGCAGAAGACACTTGTGTAAAAGAGTCAGGGGCAGAAGACACTTGTGTAAAAGAGTCAAGGGCAGAAGACACTTGTGTAAAAGAGTCAGGGGCAGAAGACACTTGTGTAAAAGAGTCAGGGGCAGAAGACACTTGTGTAAAAGAGTCAGGGGGCAGGAGACACTTGTGTAAAAGAGTCAGGGGCAGAAGACACTTAAAGAGTCAGGGGCAGAAGACACTTGTGTAAAAGAGTCAGGGGGCAGGAGACACTTGTGTAAAAGAGTCAGGGGCAGAAGACACAAAGAGTCAGGGGCAGAAGACACTTGTGTAAAAGAGTCAAGGGCAGAAGACACTTGTGTAAAAGAGTCAGGGGCAGAAGACACTTGTGTAAAAGAGTCAGGGGCAGAAGACACTTGTGTAAAAGAGTCAGGGGCAGAAGACACTTGTGTAAAAGAGTCAGGGGCAGAAGACACTTGTGTAAAAGAGTCAGGGGCAGAAGACACTTGTGTAAAAGAGTCAGGGGCAGAAGACACTTGTGTAAAAGAGTCAGGGGCAGAAGACACTTAAAGAGTCAGGGGCAGAAGACACTTGTGTAAAAGAGTCAGGGACAGAAGACACTTGTGTAAAAGAGTCAGGGGCAGAAGACACTTGTGTAAAAGAGTCAGGGGCAGAAGACACTTAAAGAGTCAGGGGCAGAAGACACTTAAAGAGTCAGGGGCAGAAGACACTTGTGTAAAACAGTCAGGGGCAGAAGACACTTGTGTAAAAGAGTCAGGGGCAGAAGACACTTGTGTAAAAGAGTCAGGGGCAGAAGACACTTAAAGAGTCAGGGACAGAAGACACTTGTGTAAAAGAGTCAGGGGCAGAAGACACTTGTGTAAAAGAGTCAGTGGCAGAAGACACTTGTGTAAAAGAGTCAGGGGCAGAAGACACTTGTGTAAAAGAGTCAGGGGCAGAAGACACTTGTGTAAAAGAGTCAGGGGCAGAAGACACTTAAAGAGTCAAGGGCAGAAGACACTTGTGTAAAAGAGTCAGGGGCAGAAGACACTTGTGTAAAAGAGTCAGGGGCAGAAGACACTTGTGTAAAAGAGTCAGGGGCAAAAGACACTTGTGTAAAAGAGTCAGGGGCAGAAGACACTTGTTTAAAAGAGTTAGGGGCAGAAGACACTTGTGTAAAAGAGTCAGGGGCAGAAGACACTTGTG